AACATTTCCAGCTACTAGGATTTCTGACAGCAACTGAAATTTGCATGAAATGAAAACCCAGGCATTACCAGAGGTCCTATACTCTCTAGCACTAAAACAGCTACTGCTATTCAGAAGGGAAATGATTTTAAATAAATTCTGAGATATCCTTTTACATTAATTCCTGGCCTCCGAATTTCTTTCCAAAGCTCTTTGAGCAATAACTTAAGTCAATAGCAGTTTAGTAAAAAACCTACAGTAAACTAGAACAGTTATTAATAATACATAAAATACGTTTTCTTCTCAAGTAGGGTCTAGGGGATTGAAATTTTTCTGAGTTAGAGAGTGATTCAGATTAAATTTTAGAGATATTTAGCTGTGGGAGGTTATTTTCTTTTCAACACAAACACGGTTTAAACTATAGATTAAAAGCAGAGATTAGTAGGCATTGCACACAGAGTGATTGTAAACTGACATAATTTTAAAGATTATGATTTTGAATACGCAGGACAGAAAAACACCATGAGCATAGGGCAGAAATGTATTTCACCACTATTTTGGTGATAATTTTAATATTTATTTCATATTTAACACTCTGAGAAGTATATGCATTGGTGATCCTTTGCATTTTAGAGACATAAGAATTAAAGATGATTTTGTTTTATTCCTAAGTGTTCATGATTAACATCTTGTGGCCATCTTCTTCAGTCAGCCTCTACCTTTCATCATACATGATAACGTGTTGTTGCTGTTGTTGTTTTGAGATGGAGTCTTACTCTGTCACCTAGGCTGCAGTGCAGTGGCGCAATCTTGCTTACTGCAGCCTCCACCTCCCAGGTTCAAGTGAGCAGCTGGGATTATAGGAATATGCCACCACACCAGGCTAATTTTTGTATTTTTAGTAGAGATTGGGTTTCTCCATGTTGGCAAGGCTGGTCTCGAACCCCTGACCTCAGATGATCCACCCAACTCGGCCTCCCAAAGTGCCGGGATTACAGGTATGAGCCACCGTGCCCAGCCATGATAGTCCTTGAACACGAACTTCTTTGGGCACTGGACCCAGACAAGTGAACCAACCACTTGCTACTCGCTAATCTGATTCCTCTGTATAGGAACTGATCAAAACTACAGGTTTTGGATGGCCTTGGGACAATCACACTTTGTAAACTCACTTGGCATCTGTTGGAGAGTGTTTTCAATTGGGTAAAAAATCAGCAATGAGCTGAAGACTAGATGTTTAAGTTTTGATACATTTAGTGCTCTCAGGGCTAATGCCCACTATTATTTATATAATCATGTAACATTACGGAAACTTACATGTTCAACCTGTAGGTGGACCGCAAAACGCTCAAATGGTTTCCATCTGTTCACTGATAATGCAGTGGTGAAGAGCTAAGACTCTAAGATCAGACTGTCTGGGATTGAATGGCTGGTTCCCTTGTTATTAAGTATGTAACCCCAGGCAAATCCTGAAGCTCTCTGAGCCTATGTTGTCTCTTCCTTGCATATAAAATAGTTAATGACAATAGTGGTATCTATCTCTGAGGTTGAACTACAGTACATGTGTTTAGTATAGTGGCTAGCACATGACAGGAGGTCAACCAATGTTATCATTGTTACTTATGACGTAATTTAGGAAACTAGTGAATATCCATGACTTTTAAAACGTGTAGGTCAGTGTCTTACAATGATTCTATCATGTTTTAGTCTATTTTATAACATGGATGACAGTTCTTGATGGCTTTTTTCCCCCCAGGCAGGGAGACGCATACAGGCACACCAATGTTTTTGATCAGGATAATAAAGAATGATGTCAACTTTTTCATCTGCGACCTTGACTAAGTATTAAAGTTGAATGAAAAGGTAAAGATGGGTAAAGGCACTTACGTCTCATCATCTTTAAGGATTATTGTTTAGAAAAAAGGCAAGGAAACCCAGCCCACACACCGCGGACACCACCTTAGGGGAGGCTGGAGAGGACACTGCGTTGGGATTCAGGACACCCAGACTCCACTCTTGATCTCATATAGACTTTGCACGTGACCTCGGGCAGTCTCTCAGCCCCATCCTCCTCATATGAACAGGGAGAGTTGGAAGAGGCCATGCCAGGACTCCTCTGAATCTGACTCTATGGCTATGAAGGCTCAGGAGAGGGCAGGGAAGCAGAACAATGCTGGACATCACCAGGGAGCTGTCAGTCACGAGACAAGCTCGGTAAGAGGCCACTAATCAATCAGAATGGGGATGGGAGGAGACAAACGGCCTCCACACTCACCATGGTGTCCTCCTCAGCATCCAGGCCAAAGAACACCTCGTTTATTACACTGAGTCAAGCAACTGATTTGCTTGAGAAAGGTTAGTTCTTTGGTTCCGGGTTGTTTCCACCCTTGAAAAAGTTGGCCTGCCCTGTGTGTCATGCTTCTTTAGTCAAATGGGGCAGCCAGTAAACCATCAAAAAGCATCTTCAAAAAGCCTTAGTGAGACCAAGTGAATACCAGCTACCAGGTCAGGAGACAGAAATATTTTAGGGTCCCTGGTTCTCCTTCTCTCTCTTTTGAAGTTCAATTGACAGGAATGGTTAAGTAGCACTTCCTTGGTAGTCAAGCACTCGGCCACAAGCACAGCAAGTCTTGCAGGTTTGGAGCCACTAATGTGGGTTTTTAGAGCATCTTCCTCAGTTTCATGGTGTTTTCCATACTGGCCTACAATTTGTTCACGTTCGTGAATGGGAATGACAGCCCTACCAGACTGGAAAGAAAAGCCATCTCTTCTCCAAGCCTCTTTGCTTAGGTGTGACTAATTTCTTCACCAGCTGAAAAGGGATTTAAGCTAAATCCCAGGAACCTCTATAAAACAGTGATATAATTTACTCTTTCCTAGTGTTCTCCTTCAAGGGTCCTCTCAATCCCATGCCCTTTCTTTCTCCATAAGCTTTATAACAGGCATTATGACATTTCTGATGTGGCATCCCCTGGGATCCGGGATGCTCTTCCACTTTGCACTAACGGGTAGGGACAGACAGCAGGCCAGCACACCTTCCATGTGGCCTCAAAGACCCTGCCATACTTGTCCACCATGCAACAGGGACTCAGGAAACTCCAGGACAGTGCCTCTGCTTTCTAGGTTATAAAAAGACAACTGCAGGGAACTGCATGTATAATCACAAAGTGTAACAGTCACTAGAATACAGACACCAAAGTTTACTTTAAATACTTTGGATATAGAAAGAAATAGATATTCCAAATAAGTGAAAATTGTGGCCTCCAGATTTGAAAAATCAGGTTTTATGCCCATGGACGCAAACATATTCACTCAGCTTTGGTGCATTTGACCTTTACTATGGAGAGCGAATTTCTATAACTAGATTCACAGTTTATAAATGTTTCCAAAAACTCACTTTAAGAGAAAGGATGATCTCGTCAAATAAATGGTTATTATTTATCTGTCTGGTAAGTATCTTCTCTGCCATCAGTCTTATCCCCTTATTTTTCTTTTCTTTTTTTTTTTTTTAAGAGCAAGACCTACTAGGTGCCTAACAGGTATCTGTATGAACGAGCCATCCCAGCACTTCTACCTTACCAGGGTTCTTCACTTCCACCATTTATATTTATAAACACTTGTCTGACAGGTTTTCTCTGCAAAATTCCTACTGAGTTACAGAAACCTACATTCTAATTAGTTTCTAAAAATGTAATGGAGATTTCTAGTCATGGAACTGCTTGTTGCTTATAGATTATGCCCCATGGTATAAACTAAGAAACTACAAAATCTGTTTTCTGTATTTTCTTATCCAAGAAGTCTCACTAGTAACATTTCTCTAATATTAATGAGAGATAGGTTAGAAAGCAACATTCCTGCAGACGTTTATATTTGCAACAGTCTGGTTGCCACCATCCATTTTGACAGGGCAGGCTGACTTAATTACCAAGGCTTCTTCCTAGAGCTGAAAAAATGACTTACTGGGTATTTTGATAAGTTGGTGATATCAGCATATTTACCTACTCGGAAACTGTTGCTAAATGTAGCTAGCAGGCCATTAGTGAACGTTATTACCTTCAAATGAAAATGGGTGGGATTTAAATTCACATCCATGATTTGCTGCTGGGGGCTGAAAGGAAAGGGAATGGGATTGTTTCTGCCCTACTTGGCCCAACATTAGAGGTGTAAGGGATGGAGCTGGTATGTCCTCGCTCACTGCATATACTAAGGACAATCAGGTCACAGGACTGTCCATTTCCCAATCTGTCTCAGAATTGGTGACGTGTATGCCTGCCTTAATTGCAGTTAGAACTGGAGGGAGTTTCTCGATGCCCTGAAAGATTGTGCAACATCTCATCTGAAAGAGGCAAGTAAACCTGCAGGTATGCTTAGCTAAAACCTAAAAGTCAGAAACACATACTTTGATACACAAGAGGCATTTACTTCTCACTGGGAATTTAAAAATCTTGTTATTACCGCTCTGACATTAGATTATGTGGCAAGCAGGCTGTAAGAGACGACTACGTATATCGGACTTTTAAAAGATAGTCATATGATTTAGCTCCCTTTAAGGGTAGGATAAACAGCTTTTTTTAAAAAAAAAAAAAGCTAACCCCTTAGTCAGTAATGCCTGGGCCAAGGTGGGGTGTCTATATATATATATATATATATATTTTTTTTTTTTTTTTTAATTGCATTTTAGGTTTTGGAGTACATGTGAAGAACATGCAAGATTGTTGCATAGATACACACATGGTAGTGTGATTTGCTGCCTTCCTCCCCTTCACCTATATATCAAGGTGGGTTTCTAAAGATCCCTCCCTTCAATTTCATGGTAAAACCTGGTTGGACCAGGAAAATAAAACGAAGTACCTTTTCTCCATAGCCTCTATCTTTGGTCATCATTTCCCTCAGGGTCTGTAGGACCTTAATGCAGAGCTTCTCCTCATTTTCTTCCAGCAGCTGTTTTGTATGCTTTATTAACCTGAAGGGGGTGGAAACCATGGATTATGTCTCTGAAACTAACTTTAAATTAAAAGCACTTTGCAAGCAATTTATTTTAACTAGTCTGTTAATGAACAAACATTTTATTAAGAGCTCTCAGGTTAAACATACTTCAGGGCATTCCCTGCACTAACAGCCAGCGAGTGACTGTGTCTCAATAGCGACACCTGCTGGTAAGTCCCAGCAAACGGGCTCGCTGGGCAGGAGTCAGCCACATACAATGGAGAAATTACATGAGAGGAGAACCGAGACAGAGATCCACTCAGACCTGCTCATTTATAAAGCATGGCTAATTATCCACTGAGAATTGCCGGCAAAATGGATCAAATATACCAACACCATAAAAAAAAAAAACTCATGAGGATGATGGTTGAGGCCAACACAGTTTCCTTATGCACGAGCTTGTCCTTAGAGGGGCCCAGAAAAGTAAGAAACTCATAGGCAGAGGCCAGCCCCAAGCGAAACAAACAACTAATCTTAGGGTAAAATTCTTTTTCTTTTTTTGAGACAGGGTCTCATTCTGTCACCCAGGCTGGAGTGCAGTAGCACAATTCCGGCTCACTGCAGCCTCCACCTCAAGGGGTCAAGTGATTCTCCTGCCTCAGCCATAGAATAGCTGGGGTGCCCGCCATTATGCCCGGCTGATTTTTGTATTTTTAGTAGAGATGGAGTTTCACCATGTTGGCCAGGCTGGTGTCAAACTCCTGACCTCAGGTGATCCACCTGCTTTGGCCTCCCAAAGTGCTGGGAATACAGGTGTGAGCCACTGTGCCCAGCTTTAGGGTAAAAATCTAATGGAGATGGTCCACTTGTTGCTTACAGATTATGCACCAAGGCATAAACTAAGACATTACACAATTATTAGGAAAAGACTGTAAGATCATGATAGGTCTGAGATTTCTGAGGGCTGAGGGATCATGACTTTTTTATGTCTGTACCACAGCACACAGTGGGTGCTCTGTAATGAATGAATGAATGGACATGCAGTTAAAATAAGAACTTCTCACCAAAAAACAAAGCAAAACAAAACAAAGAAGTGTCAGTAAGCAGGATTTAACAGACTAACTTACTTTGGGGAGGTCAGAACAGGACTTTAGCACATGACCTTGCATTCATCAAAGTTAGAAAACAGGATAACGTCTCCTTCTTCGGGAACAAAAGCTTTGTGTGGTCATCAAGGTTCTGGCAAATGAACACCCCAGAGAGAGAGGCCGCTTACTTGCAAATGAAACCGCCACTTTCACATTTCCTTCTGGCATCTGTGTTCTCTGGGAAAAGCAGCTCGGGTCTGTGGAGAACATCCACGAGCACAGATAACTCTGCCTGCACCAGGGGCCTCAGACGGTCCTCCAGCGCGGAGACGATGTCCTAAAATGGAAACACAGCCTCAGTCAACGGCTCAGGCAGATGCTGGCCACAGGAGGGTGAGGACATTGGTTTCTGCCCTAAATCACTGATGCATGGATAGGCTAGGTTAGAGTAACTTTAGTACCCTCTGGCATCTCAAACTATTAGACATTGCCCAATGGTTACCTGAAACATTAACCCCCTGATGCAGAAAACAAAGTGAAAACAAGTCAACTTTCCCACCACCCCTTCTTTCAAGATGGCCGCCTTATGCTATTCAAGGTACCATTATATACAGCTTAAAATATGATGCAAAAAAATAAATTTAACATTGGAAAGATGTCTATGATGAGTGCAACAAGGGTCAAATAATAATAATCCTATTTTTATAAACATCATCAGTATCTAGCTAAAGGATAAACATCAAATATTATTTAAACATAACTACTGGTTTTCTCTGGGTGGTGGGATTACAGGTGGTTCTAATTTTCTTGTATATAGCAATACTTGTCAGTGTTGTCTGTCTTCAATGAGCATGAATTATTCACACCATAAAGTCATACAAACATGAGGACACCAATGAATGAACATGCTGTATTAACATGCTAAATACATGTACCCTGATAGCATGATGGTCTTCAAATGCAAAACACATAGCTGTAGGAAAGGAAAACAGAGAGAAGTTGAAAGAGCAGCAAAACCAACACAACAAACACCATTTGAAGGCAAATGATAGAAAACAGATGAGAAATTATCTTCAAAAGATGCTAAAGCCTGCTCTATGGCTCGGTGACTCGGAACCTGCCTACAGGCATGTTGGCTAAAACAGGGGCCGAACATGGCACGTTGGATAATACAGGAAGGCCTGGTTGACCAAGGATATTTGCATGGGAAAAGCTGCTTAAAAGGGGACCCAGTTGGGATCGAGAAAGAATTAACTGATCTGTTATCCAGAAATTACAACTAACCATATGAAGATAATTTACTCTTAGATTTAACACAGTTTGGGTGATGATTGTAACCACTTTTAATGTTGAAGATGCATAAAGATACACGAATCAATCAAATAATTTTGGGCAGGGCAATTTTCCCAACAAGATTGTAAGACAGTACCTTACAACATCCCTTAGTTCATAATGACTTTCACAGCACAGTCAAAAACCGGGTCATTTTTGCAAAATTCTGAGGATCTTATCAGTTTCCCCCACAGCATCCCTTTTAGAAGCACCCACTCAACATTCTCTTCAATAGTTACTTATCCTGACTCTGGCAAATCTTTGTCTACAGTATTCGTATGGGATTAAAGTTGTTCTTATCGTGTTCATGTATTTCATAAAATCCTGCATCTTTTGCACAGTTTGAACTTTACATTGCAATTGATTTGCATTGTATTGTCAAATGTATAGCATTCAGCAATCAGGGAGACACCAACAAAGACGGCAAAGCAATGGGTGGGGAAAGATGCTGGTGTTAAGTGAGAGGGATGTCTAGATGGGGATTAATTACAGAAGTGGTCAGTTTGCAAGTGAATTTCTTATATTACAACTTTTGCTGCACTAGGCGATCTCATAAACCCCAGAACTCAGACAGCAAATAACTGGATAATGCATATCCTTTAAGCCATTGGCCAAGTCCTTTTAACAGTATTGCTCCCCTATGTGTTTTATTTCTCAAGAATAAGCACAATAAATCTAACAAGAGCACAAGACACCAGCATGTTTGATTGCAGATATTTTATTTGAGCAGACGAGAAAATACTATGTGCTCACGGAGTTAGGAGTCTACAATACCCTTCTCCCCTTTCTAAAAGCATAGTGGAAACAGGAAGCACTCCATTAGGAATCAAGAACGGGTACTATTAGTTATTTAAGAACTGTGTTATGATAAAGGCTGAAATTCTTAACTTGACCCAAGCAGCCCTGCCAGCCTCCCCAGCTTCCTGGCTCCAGTCACACTAACCTTCCTTTGCTCATAAGAGCAGGGTTTCATGGGTCAAGTTAAGATGCCTGTTTAAGTGTTTAACACCCTCTAATACTCATTCGAGTATTTAACAAAGGCAGAACAGGTCTCTTGGTAGATGCTAAGAAAAAAAGGGATAATCTAGCTGAAATTGAATAATACTTTTATTTTCATCTTCCTTTCTGTATGATAGTCTTTACACACGCTGTTTCCCTCCCTTTTATTCTTTAAGTCCTATTGTTCCTTCTCATTTTGGTTCCAATGTTACTTTCCCCAGCAAGGTCTTCCTTGACCCTCATTCCTAACCTCAGACAAAATTAGTTTCCTCATCAGAATCTTTCAAGCACTCTTTACTTCTCTGCATTTCTCACTTTTTCCTCTCACCATTTTATATTTAACATTAATGTCCTTTCTCCCTGCTGATTCTTCAGATACTAAGAGACAAAGCTCATTATTCCTGGTTTTGCTGACCATTGTATCCCCAGTGCCTAGCATGGAGCTGATGAATGATTTAATGAATTCATCTGTCTTCACGTAGGTGTAACCTTACAGAGATTCAGCAACACGATTACCATCATAGTGATATATCACACTAATAATGGTAATATAATAATAGCAGCCCTCAACTGAGTGCTCACTACATGCCAGGCACTGCTCTATGTATTTTACGTGTACTGTAATTTCCTAACATAGCTACACCACGATATATCCTGTCTTGCACAGTCTTCTTACAATGTGATATTGACATCCCTTTCACTGAATGATGGTTAGATTCCCTCCCACTGAGCTTGAGTGAAACTCTGAGACTGCCTTGACTAACAGAGTACAATAAAAGTGATGCTATGTGACTTCTGAAATCATAACAATAAAACTTTCACTTGTCTCTCTCTCTACACACACTCATCTTGGGACCCAGCCGCCATGGTGTGAGGAAGCCCAGGCTACACGTTAGTGTTTCAGTCAGCACCTCCAGTGAGGTTCCATCTGACAACCAGCATCAACTGCCAAACACGGAAGTGAGCAAGGTGTCAAGCTATGTCCAACCACAGTCACCATCTGACTGCAACCCCATGAAAGACTCTTATCAAGAAATAGCTTGCTGATGCCAGTCAACCTTCAGAATAGCAAAAGAGAATAAAGCAATTGCTGTGATTTGCTGCACGAAATATAGGTAACTGGGACATATTATCAACTCTCTTAATCAACCTCATGAGGTAGGTGTTACTATTTTACAAACTAGGAATCTGAAGCACAGAGAAGTCAAGTAACTTTCCCAAGATTACACCATTTCTTAGCAGCAGAGCCAGGATTTAAATTTAATCCAGGCACTGGCCTGAGATCATACTCTTAAACACTGTGCTAATGGGCTCATTCAAAGGATCTGTGATTCTCAAACTGTGGTCTATGTACTGTCTTTGAGAGCATCAACTGAGGTGCTTGTATGAAAGAGACGTTCATGTTAAGATGCATGTTTAAATGTTTAACATCTAAAACTCACTACTCTCCCCTTTAACAAAAGGATAGCAGATGTCTTGGTAGATACTAATAAAAATGTATACATATAATGCTTTTGTTTTCATCTGACTCATTCTGATGTAAAAGCCTTCTCTCAGTTATCACCACCTCTGTTCACCTGCTGATTCAAGAGGCTAAATAATCCCAGAGTGACGGGGAAAATGGAACATTTGTGCTCTTACTCTAAACGTCCTCTGTAATACTTCAATATTTCCTTCTCATAAGAGCAGAGTCCCCATTTTTCACCAAGAAATCTGTAAATCTAGGAGTAACCTTTAATAAAGACCATCACTTTGCCAGAAACTTTTCTATTCCTAAGCAGCTTCCCACTCCTGGCCCTACATACATGATAACATTTGACTATCTGTTTACCACACTGACATCATGTGTGTCAATCACATGACGCCAGGCTAAGCATCACTTCTCTCAACACCAGGCATTACCTGCAATCTCTCAATGATATTCCGGTAGTCTCTGGAAGCTGCCAGAACAGAGTCCCTGCGTGCAGCGTTGCGGGCTGACAGCCGCCAGTTCAGGGCTGTTTTCTGCACAATGTTGTGGGACTTGAGAAAGAGGTTGTTGACTTGACTGTCCAGGTCCACGGGAATGGCAATGGCCCGGCTCTTGGCTGTACAGGAAAAAGATGAGTCATGAGCCTACAATTTTTATGGGGGACATCCTATAGATGGACCTAACACCCTACTCCCCATGGGGCAGGTTTTTCACACCCAGAATAGGTCGGCTTGCCTGGTACTGAGCTTGAAGACTGAGGCGCTCAAGTCAACTTTACCATCTTTTAGGTCAGGGTTTCCCAGTGTGAATTCTGAGGGGCAGCAGTTCTGAGAAATGTTAAAATGCTCTCAGGTCATAAGGCCAGGGCAAGTCAGAGTTAAAGTTCAATGGGTTTCCTCAATGAATGGCTTCTTAGAGTCCCTGAGGTGTTTGCGTATTTTAAGAATTAATAAGACAGGGAACTCATTTGGCCAATGAACCGTTTACTAGTTGTTTCTCAGGTTTCTTTGACAATCTACAAAATGCTGAGTTATCCCAAACATAATCCTAAAGACAGCATTCACAATGGCATAAACTCCTCTTTCTATATAGGTGCTTCTTTCTCCCTCTTAAAAAAAAGGAGAACTCCAGTCTAATCATGAGAAAAACATTAGTCAAACCCACAATGGGAGACACTCTACAGGACTCCTGACCAATACTTGTCAAAACTATCAAGGTCATAAGAAACAAGGAAAGGCTGAGAAATGGTCACAGACCAGGAAAGACTGCAGACATGACAACTAAATGCAAGGTGGTGCCTGGAACAGAAAAAGGGTGTGACAAGGGACACTAATGGGCAAAGTGGTGAAATCCGAATCCAGTCTGGAGTTTAAGTAACAGTCCTGCACCATTGTCAGTTTCCTTATCTTGACAAAGGGGCCCTGGTAACGTAAAATGCTGACAATGGGTGACAACGTATGAGGGGTCTGTGGGAATTCTCTGTATTATCTTTGCTACCACCGTCCCATAAACATATAATTATTCCAAAATAAAAGATTTTGAAAAGGAAGATAATTAAGACTAATAATCATTTCTTTTCCATATGGGAAAATGTCCAAAAACAACTATTTCCTGCCTTCAATGCTTCAAAACACTAGAAGCAAAGAGAGTACTCTCGTATTTAATTGTAAAAACAACTCCAACATTCTGCAAGAGGAATCTGAGAAGCAATTATTTAAATTCCATTAAAAACACACAGACACACACACACACAATTTAGAAGGAAAACAAACAAACAAAAACTATAAGCCAGCCAGCAACTTTCTAACAGTCTAATACGGAAAGTGGGAAATTTGGAACAATACAAATAATAAAAAGTTAAAAAGCACGATGTACGGGGTACAGTACACTCATCACAGCTAGAAACTCCATGCCTTGGATATCCGATAAGCCCAACCACGAACACAGTGGACTCGGGGTGTGGTATTAGGAGGAAGCAATCCCCAGGAGACAGAGGGGATCTGGGTAGTGCTGTTTTCATGCCTTACCATTCCACAGATATCAACTCTCCTTGTCTTTTTTTCTTTTTACCACCAAGACAAATGGAAAGATTTCTCCTCTCTAGTGAGCACTGAGGCACTAGTCAAGTCAGCCACTTGCTCGAATATTAAACAAAAACTAACCTCTGTGGCAAGGACTTTCTCCCACATTTCCTTTGACCTCAACAAGCACATTGCTTTTTTTCCCAACTTTTATTTTAGAATCAGGGGGTACACATGCAGGTTTGTTGCAAAGGTGTATTGCTTAATGCTGAGGTTTAGGGTATGATCGAAACCATCATCCACAGAGAACAGAGTACTCAACAGGTAGTTTTTCAATCTTTCTCCCTCTTTCCCCCTCTAGTTGTCTCCCATCTTTTTTTATTATTATACTTTAGGTTCTGGGGTACAGGTGCAGATCATGCAGGATTGTTGTATAGGTACACACATGGCAATGTGGTTTGCTGCCTCTATGCCCCCATCACCTACATCTGGTATTTCTCCCTATGTTATCCCTCTCCTACCTCCCCACCCCCACCATCCCTCCCCTAGCCCCTCAACAGACCCCAGTGTTTGATGCTCCCCTCCCCGTGTCCACATGTTCTCACTGTTCAACACTCGCCTTTGAGTGAGAACATGCAGTGTTTAATTTTCCGTTCCTGTGTCAGTTTGCTGAGAATGATGGTTTCCAGATTCATCCATGTCCCTACAAAGGACATGAACTCATCATTTTTTATGGCTGCATAGTATTCCATGGTGTATATGTGTCACATTTTCCCTGTCCAGTCTATCATCGATGGGCATTTGGGTTGGTCTCCCAGCTTTACATCCATGTGTACTCAATATTTAGCTCTCACTTTTAAGTGAGAACGTGTACTACTGGTTTTATAGGTTAGTTCACCAAGCACATCATTTATGATAGATAATCATGAATGGAAAAAGTACAGGGTTACCTGGGAATTCCATTGCAGGGTCTTGTTTCTAAGATATCACACAATGAACCTCTTGTGTATGTATTTTCCAAAACCTAATTTCTTACTGTGAAATACTGCCACACCAATAATAAAAATGCATCAACTACCATATGAGAGTAAAGGAACTGAGCAAGAGTCTACTGAAATCAGGCAACAGGTCCTAATACAGGTTATATATATCTCCAAGGTATATCCAAACTGATTTGATATCTTACCTACACAATCAACACTTAAATCGACTGGACAGCCACTCAATAGTGCTAAGAACTACACCTGTCTTGCTCTTCCTGTTACTGTCTGCAGGAATCTAAGAGGCGACCCCAAGCAGGTAACTCTCTTCTCAGCTGCAGGCAGAAAGCCTAGCTCTTTGCACAGCATTTATAGGGGATGGAGAATGAGCAAAGTAATGGAGTCTGATAAAACCAGGATAAAGGAAAAAAGAATTTTCCTAACTTCCTTTCAAAGGCTGCCTATGAGAGGCAAGACAGAAGGGGAGTCACAGAGGAAATGGAGAAACATTTCTCCTTGAGGGGAAGAAGGGAGCAGTGCATCATTTCTGAGAAAGGGTGTTCCTTGGGATGTGACAGGTGTTTTCCAGGAAAAAGTCTCCAAGTGGTCAAGTACATTTGCTGGATTAAACAAATTAGTTTCTCGAATGAGGGACTTCCCAGGGCCTTGAATAAGCTGCATGTATCATGACTTGCCAAGAATTGCCTAACAACCATGGGAGCTTGTTTTTCTAGGCCTATCTGACTTGGGACTCGCTAGCTCTTCCTTTGGGAAATGTTGGCTTGGCAGATACAAAAAGGAGCCCAGCAATCAAGAAGACCTCGGTTCTGGGTCTGGCTCCAAAACTTCCTGTCTGTATAACTTGAGAAGAGTTGTAATGAGTGCTCAATAAACGGCAGCCTTACCACTGTGAGACAATTCATTTTCAGCACGTATATCCAAACTAACTTGTTATCTTACCTACATCAGAGAGCACCCGAATACAGCTCTCCACGGAGGCCTTTTGGCTCGGCATTAACCAGTTGCAGTGGTACACCCTGAACACACCTTGGAGCAGTTGCACAAAGACAGGCTGGCGAGTCTGCAAGAAGCCGAAAGAAGCAATGTGAAAAACAGATTTTTATTTGTAGATTACTGACGATCTGATCAGAGACAGACATTGTCTTGAACCACTGGACCCTGGATCAGAGATAGACATGCCTTGTTAATGGACCCTGAAGCAAGCGTGAGAGGGGATGCCTGGATAACAGCTAAATTCCATAAGTGATCTAGCTGAGGGGGAGCAACTTAGAAGCGTTTTAGGTCAATTTATTAACCTGATGCTATTTTAATTAAGTTTAAGCACAAGAAAGAGCAACGGTTCCAAAGTTCAAAGACTGGTATTCTTATCCAGTTACCAAGTAGCAAATTACATCACCTCTGCGAGCGTCAGTTTCATCCACCGTATAAAATAAGCAGATTGAGGCAGACTGACCCTAAAGTTCCTTCCAGACATTATATTCATTGAGTAGAACCCATATTTTTAATCAGCAAAAACAAACCGATAAGTGGATCTCACCTAGAATACTACTTCTTCATTTCTGGCAAGGTCTTTAAAGACATAAAAAGAATTTGGATGGTTACTCTTTATAAATATTCATTTATTATGATGAGTACTTGGAAATTACATGAGAAGAGTTATTAGTTTCTATAAGGTATAAATTTGTACTCATTTTAAACTAAGAGTACTCAAACATCCACTTACTCAATTTGACACTGACTTTCTGCATGCATTAAAAAATTACAGTTTTGGTCTCCATTCAAAGCGTAGTTTTGGACCAGCAAGGCAAAGAGAGACAGCTGTGTATGCTGTGCTATATTCCACTGGTCTCTCGTTTGAGAGGACACAACTTGCATAGCTCCTCTAAAAACAGCGGAAGTTAATACAGTAAAGAAAAAAGTAGGCCAGGCGCAGTGGCTCACGCCTGTAATCCCGGCAATTTGGGAGGCTGAAGTGGGCGAATCATAAGGTCAGGAGTTTGAGACCAGCCTGGCCAAGATGGTGAAACCCTGTCTCTACTAAAAATGCAAAAATTAGCTGGGCATGGTGGCAGGCACCTATAATCTCAGCTACTCAGGAGGCTGAGGCAGAAAAATCCCTTGAACCTGAGAGGCAGAGGTTGCAGTGAGCCAAGACGCACCACTGCACTCCAGCCTGGGCAACAGAGCAAACCTCTGTCTCAGAAAAGAAAAGAAAAGAAAAGAAAAGAAAAGAAAAGAAAAGAAAAGAAAAGAAAAGAAAAGAAAAGAGTACCAAAAACCCTGAAAGAGGTTTCTGAGATGAAGGAAAACAGAAAGCATCAGGAGAAAAAGGAAGTCTATTATAAGAAAATAAAAGAGATTAATTAAAAATTCAGAACCTCGCTGATAAAGATGGTTCAGATAGCTTCCATTTATTAAGGGCATACTATATGTGAGACATTTCATGTATGATCTTGTTCAGGCCTCAGTAAACAATTCTGCAACTTGGAATTACCTTCCCGTCACACATGAAAAACAAAGGCCCAGCAAGGAAAAAAGAAAGTATCTAATAGAAAGAGAAGAGATGGCAAAGCAGAAAGTCAACCACAGGGGTCTCTCTGGTGGTGAAGTTCCATGCTCCTTCCATGAAGTTCACCTGGGAGCCAGAATCTCATTGCCTTCTTCAGGAAGTACTTTCTTTCCTATTTCCCACAGCCACCCAAAGAATACAGTAAGCTGTATTCCTAAGAGAGGAGAGGTGCCAAGGGAGCCTGGGAAACTGGCCGGGGAAACCCAGCATTTAGTTCCTGAGTTTTGTGGCTGCTTGTTAGCTCTTGAGCTAACTCAGAGGGCCCAATGACAACAGCCATTTACTCCCAAGAACCTCCTATGTGCCAGGCTCTGTGCTAAGCACTTTAGACAAAGCTCATTTAGCCTTCACCATCACCCTGTGAAGTAAGCTGTGGCATTATTGCCCACCCTATTAGCTAGTAAGTGTTGAATTGGGGATAGGAACCCAACAGCCCAGCTCAAAGAAAGAAGTGTCCCTTGACTCAATTAATTCTACTAAACCCTATTCATGGAATACCTACTCTGCTCTTGACACCTTGGTGTACAAAAGACGATGAAATGAGTGAGCGTAGCTGCCTCCTAACTATCCAAATACTACAGGCAATCTGGTGGGATATGGTTTGGCTCTGTCCCTACCCAAAGTTCACCTTGAATTGTAGCTCCCACAATTCCCACATGCTGAGGGAGGGACCAGGAGGGACATAACTGAAATTATGGGGTGGGTCTTTCTCATGCTGTTCTCATGATAGTGAAGAGGTCTCATGAGATCTGATGGTTTTACAGAGGGGAATTTCCCTGTGCAAGTTCTCTTGTCTGCTGCTATGTGAGACCTGCCTTTCACCCTCCGCCATGATGGTGAGGCCTCCCCAGCCACACAGAACTGTGAGTCCACTAAGCCTCTTTCTTTAAACCATCAACGACAGGTCTCATATACAACAGTGACCCATAAGATTGTAATACCAAATTTTTACTGGAGCTTTTCAATGTTTAGATACACAAATACAATTGTGTTGTAATTGCCTTCAGTACTGAGACAGTAACATGCTGTGTATGTTTGTAGCCTGGGACGAAGAGGCTGTTCCATACAGCCGAGGCGTGTAGCAGGCTGTGCCATCTAGGTTTGTGTAAGTGCACTATATGATGTTCACACAATGAGAAAATCACCTAAGAAGGCATTTCCCAAAACATATCCCACCACTAAGAGACACATGACTGTTACTAGCTTTTCCATAAAAACCTAAAGACATAATATATATGTCACATATATTACATATATTTAGTTTAATGTAATATAAATGTGTAATATAAATATAACACATTTTAAAACACACAAGGAGAAAATATATACTTCATGATATATTTAATCTGATATTTTACAAAATATACACTTTATAACCCATTTTTTCATTATGAATAAATATAATCTATGAGCAGGAAAAAAGGAAGTCTGGAAGGATTAACTTCAAAACTTAGGTGTATTTTTTTTTTATTGATTGTCTTTAGTCCCTAAATTTTTTATAATGGCCATTATTTCTGTAGTAAGGGTTTTTGTTTTAAAGAATTCACTCATAGTCTAAGTCTTACATTCTTATGAACTAGATCTCAACCTCCTCTTCATCTCATTTCTGAGAAGTTCATTCAGGTCACATCCCTTTGCTCAATAGGCTGAATTAGTTCCACAGAGCTGAAGCTTTTTTCCCCACTCTTCTTAAAGACACAGAAGGAAAGACTAACTTCTCCCATGTTCCTTTTATGCAACATCAATGCTTGAGAAAACGTTTTAGGGAACTGAAATCCCACTACAAATGAGCTGCAGCTTTCAGAACCTTAAGGGCTCGCCCAGGCCAGCCACCACTATGTCTCCCAGTGAGCCACGACTGCACGTACCACATAGACAGTGACAAGAAGGGCACAGCCAGGCTGGGCTAGCTCACCTCAGGTATACAGTCCTCGTGGGTCACCACACGAACAATGTCATCCAGCGGGAGCAGGGAGTTGCACTTGATCTCTGTGTAGACGTTCTTACCCTCCGTGCACACAGCCAGGAGCTCGACCAAGTGAATGTGGTACATGAGAGGGCTGTTCTCATCCATCCGATCCCGCTCTGACCGCATCATCTGGATGAGAGTCTGGAAAGAGGCTCTGTCGTTGTAGAACACGAGGACATCCTCTCCTGAATTGACCAGCTACATCAGGAACAGGGTGGGTTTAGATTACAAGCTTGCAGGTCTGGGGCAGTGTGAAAAAAATCTACTCACAGAGAAAGAGAGAGGTTCTCTCAGCATCTATCTTCCCAAATCAGTCTTACCTATTTTGACTTCATTCATTTATATAACTGAACAACTAGAAATCTTCAGCATCTTAATTTTACTCCACTGATACAGAAATACCACACTGGCCCTAAAAAACTATTAGGGGAAAAGAAAGTCTGCATACCAGCATTAATGTATAAAGTGGAAATAGAGATCTCAAGCTTCCACTTGAATTTCTAGACCTACCTATTAGGCTATGATATGTCTTTTTAAATATTTCCATCTTTTTTGTATGCTTTACATAGTATCCCCTTTACAAGTCTCACATCCACCAACTTATCTCTTCAATCACACATTATTTTTTTTAACATATTCCTTCTTCTCCAGGCTACAACTCTCAGGCTCCACACTCTTCAAAAAGTCGAGGCATTCCTGTTTATAACTTGTGCCCTAAAATATGGCTTCTTGCAAATCTACTTGAGAATAAATCAATTTCATCAGCAGTAGATGAAGTACAAAACCAAAACAGGCTGGCATAAAAGTCAAAATAAACATGGTCAATACTTACTAATGGCCAACCTTTATGAGCTCTCATGATTATATGCCAGATACCAAAATAAAATCTTTAGATGAACTTCCTAAACTTACTGTGTCTCAGTTTCTTCATTTGTGAAACTGGACAAATACAATAGCTAACTCACAGTGCCATGTAGATTAAATAAATTATTATACACAAATTGCTTAGGACTATGCCCAGAGTTTGGCAGGCTTCCAAAAAGTGTTGGCCATTAACGTCATCATGATCTCATTTACTATGCATATCAACTCTTTAAAGTGAAATCTGCTGTATCTTCATTTTATAGAAAAGTTCGCTAAGGATTTGAGAAGTCAGGTAACATATCTCACGACACCCTTTGGTGAAGGAATTCAGGTGACATTTGTATCCCAGGTTGAGCCAACTCTCTTTTTTTTTTTTTTTTTTATTTTTAGAGACAGGGTCTCACTCTGTTGCCCAGGCTGGAGTGCCGTGGTGCCATTATAGTTGACTGCAACCTCGAACTCCTAGGCTCAAGGGGTCTTCCCCTGTAACTGGGACTACAGGCACATGCCACCACACCTGGCTAATTTTTTAAATTTTTTTGTAGAAACAAGGGTCTTGCTAGGTTGTCCAGGCTGGTCTCATACTCCTGGCCTCAAGCAATCCTCCTGCCTGAGCCTTCCAAAGAGCTGGGATTACAGGCATGAGCCACCACGCTGGCCCCAACTCTCACACTACCCTCCCTGCCACTGGAACCATATACGTAAACAAGACTGTAAATCAAAATGAATCCATAATGAATCAAGTAAGACTTTCCTTGACTTCAGAGAACAACTGCTCCTTGAGAGGCATCAGGCAAAATTTTTTCAATCTAGTTAATTAGGTGCCTAATTTTTAAAAATTCATAATCCACAAGAATGGAAGCTGTTCTGGCTCATTGGGTCCTGACCACATTTAATCTCCATTCCCTATAATTGAGTTCATCACTCCTCTTTTTGTCCCCTGTCAGAAGAATCCAAGCCAACCTTCCTTAGAATAAACTGATTGCTATGAAATATCAGATCAGATTCTTGCCTCTATCTACAGCCTAAGCTCACACGAGACGACACACACAAACGCACACAGAATTACTTGCTGTCTTTCCGTATGGCTCCTGAAGAGGGTACAAATTCATATAGAAAAGATTAAATCATTTTAAAATTTCAACAGAACACTAGGTGGAAGTATATAGAAATATATAACAATCACCTCAGCCATAACCATGTCTTGGCATTTTTTAATAAATTTCCCTTCTGCCTTGACAATTGTCTGCAAGAACTTTATATACTGGACGTTCCGACCGTGAGTCTCTATGCAGTGAACGAAGTGCTGAACGACTCTCTCGTTGATCTCACTGCAAAGCTGGAAATTGTTCATGAAGATGTGCTGCATGGTTACTGCCTCCAGGATCTGGCACAAGAGTGAGGAAAAGAGCACAGGGACAGGTAAAAAAAGCTGCTAGAACAGATTTAAAAATGAGAAAAAGAGGAGTCCACTGAAAACATGCACAAAGAGAAGCATTTAAACCCATGAAGATATGTTTCTCTCATTCTTGCTTCTTCTGTAGTACCTTCTTTTTAGTAAACTTTTTTCAATGACATGTAAATAAACTTACAGAAAAATAAACAAATCATTAGCACTCAGCTGAACAGATTATAAAGGGATCTTGAGCACCCAGATCAAGAAACAAAACAGGTCTCCTTTATGCTCTATCTCACAATTTAACTACTATTTTCATTTCTATAACCACAGTTTAGTTTTGCCTGTTCATAAACCTCATGGACTCTTCTTCACTGATATAAGTCTCACTGCATGAATATACAACAATATCTTCATTCTATGGTTGAAGGGCATTTGGGCTAGGATCTAGTTTTAATAGATAGTAACATTAATAGTATTATAAATATTAAAGTAGAGTTGCCGTGAACATTCTTACACATGTCTTCTGGTAAACTTAAACCCATACTTCTGTTGGGTCCAAGAATAGAATTGCTAAGTACAAAGTATGAATGAGTATGTTTAGCTTTAGAAGATACTGACAGCTTTCAAAAAATGTTAACAATTTGCATTCTACATTCCAGCTGTTCCTATCCTTGTCAACACTTAGTATTTTCAGTCTTTTAAATTTTAGCCACATCTTACTGTGGCTAAACATAGCTTAATTTGCCCATTTCTTTGATGTCTAATCATGTTGAACACTTTGTCACATTTATTGGCCATTTGGATATCCTCTACAGCAGGGCGTCTGTTCAAGTTTTTTGCCTTTATTTATTTATTTACTTGAGACGGAGTCTTGCTCTGTCACCCAGGCTGGAGTGCAATGGTGTAATATCAGCTCACTGCAACTTTTGTCTCCTAGGTTCAAGCTATTCTCCTGCCTCAGCCTCCAAGCAGCTGGAATTACAGGTGCTTACCACCACACCCAGGTAATTTTTGTATTTTTAGTAGAGATGGGATTTCATCATGTTGGCCAGGCTGGTCTCAAACTCCTGACCTCAAATGATCCGCCTGCCTTGGCCTCCCAAAGTGCTGGGATTACAGCTGTGAACCACCATGCCTGGCCCATCTATTTTTAAAAGCAGGTCAACTTTTTCCTTAGTGACTCTTCTGAGTGTGTTTTGTACATTCTGGATATGAATTCGTTGTTAAACACATGCATCGCAAATGTCTCCCACTCTCTGCCTCGACTTTGGATGCTCTTAATAGTGTCAGAAGACAAATAGAAGTTCTTAAAAGGAGTCCAATTTATCAATTTTTAAAAATAATTAGTGTTCTTTGCATACCTTGTAAGAAAATTTTGCTTACCACACAGCCATGAAGATTCTCATGTTACCTTTTAGAAGTTTTATTTTTCACTTTTTACCCAGAGTTATGGAGTTTTATGTTTGGGGTGAGGTGGAGGCTTTGATCTTATCTTTTCCCTTTTCTTTCTCTTAACATGACGCAGAGGGAGTCATGTTATACAGGTTGAGTATCCCTTATCCAAAATGTTTGAGAGCACAAGGGTTTCACATTTTTGATTTGGGAATATTTGCATTATAGCCTCCTGGCTGAGCACCCCAAATCCAAAAATCCAAAATCTGAAACGCTCCAACGGGTATTTTCTTTGAGCATCACACCGGCACTCAAAAGTTTTGAATTTTGAAGCATTTCAGTTTCAGATTTTCAGATCTGGGATGCTCAACCTATATTATCCTACAATCCATGCTAATCCATTTTCTGCAAAGTGTTAGCATTACCAATGAGTGAGTGAGTGAGTGTGTGCATGCACAAAGATGTTCTTTGCAGTATTGTTTAAAAAGCTAAAAACCAGATATCGCCTAACTGGCCATTAATATGAGAATGGTTTTTTAAAAGTTACAGCCATTATGTGGGATGTCATTTAGCCATCAAAAGAATGAGAAAAACTTCTCTCACTCTGATTTGCAAAGGCAGCCATAATGCGTTAAGTGAAAAACGTAGAATACAAGACAATGTGTAAAGTATGGCATCATTTTTCTTTACAAAACCTATAATAAATTTAATATACTTTTATTTAAATATTTAACAAATATATTTATTATTTGAAATATATTATTGAATTATATGTATTATTGAATATATCATTGAATTATATGTATTAATTATTGAAATATATTTAGCAAATTAAGATATAATATAGATATGTTTGATATAGAAATACTATATATTTATATACAACCACAGAAAACTTTCTGCGTGAACTCAGGAGGATGTGGCAGGTGAGAGATTTAGTACTTGTATATTGCTGAAGTTTGACACAATGAAGGACTTGACTAGGAAAATATAGACATGTATCTTACTTTATCCATCTCACCTTCCTCCTTCTCCCCTCCCCAACTCCTGCCATCCCACCCCCAGAAGATGAGTATTTATGTCCTCCTGATAAGTGGTGAAAATGTTCCCCTTTGGAATGAATGTTGCATTATAACAAGCCCCAGAAGCCACAACAGCCAAAGAACAGGCTGTTCCTCCTCCCTCCTCCATGCCCTCCTCCCTCCACAGATTTGCAGACAGGCCTCAAGTCTTACCCCTGGGTTGAGAAACAGGTTTATGTGTTTATGTAGCAAAGCTTGATTCTGCTGGTTGCCTGCGCAGAAATTCTGCAAAAATTCATGAGCCAGCCTCATTATCTCTTGCATCTTGGTATCTTCGGCCTGTGTGGGAGGAGACAGATGAAAGCACTGATTGCTGGGCCAGGAGACCAGCTTCTCCTACACTCAGCAACTCCTGCTAATGTGGGAGTCAGGGGGTGTCTGCTGGGGGCCTGCTGTGGGTAAATATTGAGGGGCTGCACTGCTGACCCTGAAAAGAAGCCAGTAACTTGTTTACGCTCATTGATGAAAGTGAAGATCTTATTTGGGTGGGAGGGAGCACTGCAGAGCGAAAGCTAATAGAAGGCCTCCACAACTCCATTGTCTAGCAAGGACTGAAACTTCTGAACCCACTACGTCTAAAGACAGGGACTGGCCAGGCACAGTGGCTGACACCTGTGATCCCAGCCCTTTGGGTGGATCACTTGAGAGCAGGAGTTTGAGACCATCCTGGCCAAAACAGTGAGAACCCCATCTCAACCAAAAAATAAAAAAAAATAATAGAAATCTTAAACATAAATAAAAACAGGGACTAACAACAGAACAGGGACTGACTTCCTCACTGATGCTGAGCAGTCATTTTCCCTCTTGGGTTCACCTTGCTAAGTTGCCCAGCCTATTACACATTAACCTTTGCCAATAGCTAACATGGCAACGTGGAAATCTCCTTATACATTAAAGCAACTGTGCCTGCCCTAACTCCTTTGCTTACCAACTCAAGTACAATTTTTAACCTCAGACTTAGTTTTCCTTCCGCAAAATGGAGACAATACCCTCCCTGGCATTTCACATGGTTAGATTATGTCATTCAAACATTAATAGCATAAACTCAGTATTTGTAAGGAGTTAAATATTCTGTAATAAACCAATTCTATCAAACCTATGGCCATTTTGTCTAATTCTAAGTAAGCAAAACATTAAAGAGAGTAAAAACAGAACAAGAATTTCTAAAATGAAAATCATTCTTCATATTCTTACAGCCCACAATAGTCTTCCTAAGTCTTCAGAGCCATCACCTCATTTCAGAGGCAAGAGAAGATAGCAGTTAGGAATGCAGGTCCCCAAACCTGACTCTTGTCCCAGATCTCCAACTTCCTGGCTGTGTGACCTGGAGCACATTACTTAACCTCTCTGTGTTGCTGTTTACTCATCCATGAAAAGGAGATTATGAAAGTGCACACTTCATATGATTGTTATGAAGATTAAATGAGAAAAGTCATATGAAGTGGTTAGATGGTGATTACTCTGTAAATGTTAGCTATTGGTTCTGGGCTAGACTGAGGTCAGCAACCTTTCTTAAAGGGCAAGGCAGCACATACTTTGGGCTTTGTGGGTACAGAGGGAATATCAAGGACATTATGTAGGTACTTATATGACTATTTTAAAATGTAATAACCATTCTTAGCTGATAAACACTGTTCAAAACAGGTGGTGGACTAGATTTGGCCCATCCTTTAGTTTGCTAAACCCTGGTCTAGAAAAATACCTCTGTGACAAAACACAATGTAGGTGTCAAAAACAAGTCGTGGGAGGAAGATGAGCTCCCAGCTTTGACAATCAAACCAAAACAGAGGAGAACTTAAAGGGACATTAATAGCAAGATTGGGGACAATGTAAGTGGATCACATTCCTCCCTCATTAATGAAGGAGTGGTGAACCTTCTAGTTCTAAGAAATCAGAAGGCTTGGGACAGCCACTGCTGGTAGACAGCAATAACCTTAAATCATTCCACATGCCTCCAGTCCTTCTATATAAAAGGAATCTGCTGGTGCACGAGCTAACTGAAGAACATTTGTGGTGTGAAGTGGATTTTTGCAAGGCAAGAAAGTCCCAAAGACATCATGTCACAAGAGGTTATCTGCAGGGGATTCCTCCATTATTCTTTGGAAATCTGTGCCCATCTAAAAGCAAACAAGCGTGTGCACATGCACACACACATGATATTTTGTGAGCCACCAATTCCAACCGCATCTGGTCATCTGTAGATTAATCCTGCTCTATGAAGGCATGACTCTCATTAAGGAAACTGATGATAATATGAGATAACACTATGGTTGGCAACTGATCCCGTCACATTCCTTACACATGGGAAGGTAGATCAGTTTGTTGGTTCTAGTCTAAATGACAGGCAAAGATTGGATGACATGCACACCTGTATCAATTGCAAGTTAGCTAAGTATCATACTTCTGACAGGGATTGAGCTTGGATTTTATTTTTAGCCACTGAAAAGCTGACATGCCCAATTCTGATGATCTCCGTGAGTGAGGAGGAGGCTCCCTTTGCAGGAAATTTCCTGGCGGTATCAGACACAGGGAAGGCACCAGTCCCCAGCTCCACAGTGAAGCGGAGCCAGCTTCACTGCATGTAGCTGTGCCATCCATGCAAGTTACTGAACCCCTCCAGCTGCAGTTCTCTCATCTGAAATGGGGCTGAAGATAGCACCACCCATCTCATCCATGTGTCTTAAGAATGACATGAGCTAATAATGTATTTAAAGGCCTCAGCATAACACCTGGCACCCTGCAAGCACCCAGCAATGAGTCTTTATCAGGTGACTCTTCCCCAGCAAATCAGTCTCTCTAGCAGTTAATAGTCAACTCAGGAGACCTGAGTCTGAGCCCTTCACCTCCAAACCTCTCCCAGCCTCAGTCTTCTCATCTGTTAAGTGGGCATAACACGAATACCCTACTAGGTCTTTCAGGCTTGAATGAATGATTTCGTAAGTGTCTTGTCAGCCTACATGCATGCAAAGCACTGTCAGCCTGCTTCTGCCTCCCTAAATCAAATATGTATCAATGGCAAATGCTAATGTGAAAAATTAGAGGCAAAGTACAACTTTCAGCAACAGAAACAAAGACTTAGATCAAAGCATCACCTGCTAAATCCAAATACGTAAGCAGACGTCAGTATCTTAGTGAGAACCTCAAAAGTGGCTATGTCCCATGTTCCCACATGCACTTAATAGCTGGTGGTGCTTAAATTGCTGGAGTCACACTGCAAATGAAACTGAAACACACCAATCCATGGGCAGATATAGCTCTAAGCTCTGACACAGACCAAGGTGTCTCTATCCAATGTGGCCTGGGAGTATGGAGAATAAATGGACTCTCTTTCTTTATAGAATCTTAAAACTGGGGATAAGGATTATTCACCGGAGATTTGATTTTATTTTTAGAATGCTCTGCTTGATATCAACATCTGAAACTGCTTTGTAGTCACAATAGTCACATTGGATGCATTTCTTCACCAACAATATACAGAAGTGAAGGGTTTGGGGAAATTCAGGGATCCCCTCCACCCTGAGAGCAGTTGCTGTGCATGAGGCCCTGCTCACCTTCTCGTAGGGAATCTGCAGCAGCTCCAGCACCACGGCGTGCGCACCCATGTTTCGGAGCAGACGCTGTTGCTGCTTCCTGCTCTTTCTCACCGAGGCACTCTCTTGAACACAGAGTTTGCTAAGCCGAATCAAAATCTAGTGGAAAGAAATCAGTCTCAGAAAACTAGGAACTGTAACTGGAAAAAGACTGCAGGGAGTGGTGGTGAGCAGGGAGGCAAAAGCGATTCTAATGCATTAAAAACCTAAAATGAAATTCCTCCAGTGTATAGTACTTCTGTTGATTCTATCTAGCCAAATCCTAAGACTAAGGGCATGTCTTCCAGAATAAGCAGGGGATTATGGCTTCAACAGCAAGTGGGACAGTTTTAGAGAGACTTCTTCAAATGGGATGACCTGGCATCATCGCCAAGACCCTGGGAAGAGTTCGTTCTGGGGTAAAACACACAAAGCTCCCAGCCTCCCAACTTTGAACCGGCTTATGCAAATGTATCTAAAGAACTACAGCTCTCAGTGGGGACACTGTGCGCCAGGCACTTAGATAACTCCCTGGTAGTTCTCTCAATTAGTCCTTCCTTCAACTGTAAAGCTTCAGAAATATGTAGCACCTATAAAAGGTTGCCCCTATAAGAGAGGAGGAAGCTGAGGACACAAATAATAAGTAGAAGAGCCAGGTGAGGAGCCCAGATCTGATGCTGAAACCCATGAGCTTAACCTCTGAGCTCTTTCTTCCTGTTAAACCAGATGAAAAGTTCAAATCTGTGTACCTTCAACTTGACTACCACAAACTAAAGCTCCTTAGAGAATTCATAAAGAAGGAGAAAAAGGCCGTAGGGGAGGGGCTTACCTCTTTGACCACTCTGTAGTTATAGCTGCTGGTGCTTTCATGCTTTTGTGGCTTATTTCCCTCCTAGGAACCAAAGCGAACACAAGTGTGATTTGTACAGTTCTTGGACTATTGCCAGTTTGTTACAGTTGGCGTCAACCTTTATGAAAGGAAGGGAATTCTGCACTGTTTTCAAATAGCCGTCCTGGATTTATGCCCCAGTCATCAGCCTACTCGCTATGGACTTCCTTGGGAGGGGACAGTGGCCCGGGCCACGGCTACAGAACAGGTCAATTCCCAAGCGGATCTGTAAAGGAAACCTTGTGCTAATTCACTCACATCCAAGTCTCTTCTACACAGTCCGAGGCTGCAAAGGAGACACAGCCAAACTGACTCATAGTTTATTTCCTAGGCAAACAGCTGTTACCTTAGCTACTTAACAAGCAGATCTCTTAAGAATAAATTCCATCCTATCAAATTTATACCTAAAACCAGAGGAGGATGCTCACTAGTTTTGAGAAACCCATTCATCTACTTCGGCAGCAAAACTTGTGTTTCACTCACCTCTGTTTTCTTATGTTCGTTTTCGCCAGACGCACCATCCATGGTCTCATCAGGGCCCTGCCCTTTGTACACCCAAAGCTCTGACTTTTCCACAATGGACCTCAGTTGATCCAAGTCTTGTTTGATCTGTTTGTAGTTGTCTACATCTTGGCTGGTAACCAGCAGTTGAACCTTAACAAACGCAATCCGTTAGGTGCACACAGCAACTTCTTGGACAGACAACACACATGTGGGTGACCTCAGCTACCTGTTTGAAGGCCTGGAGCACCTCCTGCCTCTGGCTGAAGTGCCGAAAGAGGAGTTGCAGGGCCCCTGACACCAGGGGTGGGTAGTCATGCATCGTCAGGTGGAGCAAGACACGGAGAAAGGTTCTGCCGCCGTGATCGTCCAAGTCCAGTGGAGTGTTCTCCTCGCTAAAACAGCACGAGGTCAGGGAAAGGCTAAATGAACAACAAATGCCTCCTCTCATACACCGGGGGCAGAGATGCACCTAACCTAGTTAGATTTCTAGCACTATGATCTCCAGTCATTCAATTTCACTTTTCATTAGCTTCTTTAACAACACAACCTTGCTTCATCTTCAATTATATTGTGAGGTGAGGGGAAAATTAAGATGTCATAATAAAAGATAAGTCAAATTTTAAGGCAAAGTCCCTCCCCTCCCCAAATGACAAGACTAGCATTAGAACTAGATTCTCAACATCTACACAGAATGTTCTTCTGCTGGGCTTCATCTGTGGTCTGAGAACTGCAAGAGGATGTGTTTCTCCTAAGTTATTAGTTTACATATTTATTTTTCAGAGATGAGGTGTTGCTATGTTGCCTGGGCTGAATTCAAACTCCTATGCTCAAATGATCCTTTAGCGTGCTGAGTAGCTGGGACTATAGGTATGCACCACCATGCCTGACTATATTTAAATATTAATAAGCATAGATTAAATGACAGACTGCTCTGTAACTGAGCACTGCCAGTCAATTATTGGGTCTGCACCTATTTTGGGTTTAGAGTTCAATGAATGACAAATGGTGGGACCTTCATGGTTGCAGGCTAATAAAACCACAGAGAGGACTTTATAAATAATGTATTCATGCTATATATTCCAAAAAGGTATGAAGGTTTCATTGTTGTTCAGTATCAGGAAAATGGAGGGAGAGCTGAGTGATCACATAGCACATGGAAGCTGTATTATGCTAAACTCAAAATGCCTTGTTTAAGAAAAACATCTTTCATCGTAGTACATAATGCTGCTAATTCAAATTTCACAGGTTTTATATTAAGCATTGAGGTAGACTATAAACATTGGTGGGCCCCAGCAAATTATTTAAACCTTTACGGAGTCACCTCCCACACTGATGCTGAGCTCGGCCACGGGATTTGCTTGAACAATAGGACATTGGCAAATGCAAGGCAAGCAGAGGCCCAATTAGCACTTGCATCCTGGTGGCTTGTCCTCTTAGAACATTTGCTCTTAGAGTCAGTCGCCATGCTGTAAAGAGGCCCAAGCTATCCACGTAGAGAGAGAGAGAGAAAGAAGCCCTGGCCTTGCAGGCATCTCTGCTACAGTGCCAGAAATGTGAATAATGCAACTTGGATGTGCCAGCCCCGGTTACCACCTCACTACAGACAGACCCAACAGTGACCACCAGCAGAAGAACCATCCAGCTTAGCCCTAGTCAAGCCACAGAACTGTGAGACAGCTTAGCCCTAGTCAAGCCACAGAGCTGTGAGAGGTATTAATAGTCAAATGGTGGTTGTTTGAATCCTTAAGTTTTTTGGAGTGGTATGTTATAAAGCAATAATCAAACCAAGTGTACTCATTATAAGAACTATGTGCATAGGGTGTTCATACCAAGTTTTATACTTGTAGGTGTAAGAATTCCATAATTATAAGAATGTCTTAAGTCAAAATTGAGCAGTGTGGTATTTTTTTAAAGGGGTTCATCCATTAACATCAAGAATCATGAAAGAACAGATTTTGCTTTACTTGTTGCGTATTCCATTAGGAGCTCAGGGATAAAACTGCAGTCCAGCAGCAGCAGAAGAACATGATCTCACTAGTTTCACTCTGTTTTGAGCCTGCTCTTTCTATTCTTTCTTTTGATTGTATTTCCTCACTATGTAAAAATAATCTTGTAATGTTGAGAAATCTCCTTAAATCCTTTCTGTCCTAGGTGGGACACACACATACACACACAGACACAAACACACACACACTTAATTCTGTCCTACGCAGAACACACACACACTCTCTCACTCTCTCTCTCCCCCCCCCACCCCCAATCAAGCAAACAAAGATAACTATGACTCGAATACTAAGAGATCCAAGGATAGCACCAAAACAACCTAACCCCAGAGATGAAATATTTACTAACATAGTAAAGGGAAGGTCTTTGAGAGCTCTGGAAGAGCAGCCTTCCCAACTGTAGAACCACCTACGAAACAGTAACTGAAAATATACTTTCCTTCCTCCAAAGATGCCTTCTGCTTGCTCTTCAATGTGTTCAAAGTCAAGAGCACCTGAAAAGTTACAGCATATCACTTCAGATGTAGGAAAGTCTGTAAACATGCTGCTAGTGAATTCATCCACAAGTTTTGCAGGGGTAAAGCTGTTGAGTTAACCCCAGATCTTCCAGAGCATGATATTACAAAGCTATGGAGGGTGACTAACCCAGATAATGCTGCCCCCAAATTCCACATTCCTGCCTTCTCCTCCCTCACTGCACGGTCCCCTGCTAAAGAAGAGAGATGATCTCATTCATGGAAGCTTGGGCTTGATAGATGGGATTATTTCTACCACTACCCTCTCCCTTCATCAGTATTTACTGGGCAGGGAAAAACTTCCAACACGAGTAAAAGTTGCTAGTGGACAAGAGGTCTCTTGGAGAGTTGTTATTGTTTTTATTTGGGGTTTTTTGGAGGGAAGATGGGTGACCACAATGCTGGAAACCTCAGTTGCCTCATGATTAAGATAATCCAAGATGGAGGGAAACAAGATCTAACCCAGAAGGCATCTAGGCTCTATCAATTATTCACCTGCTCAAAAAAAGTTAGTGCCAGGATGATGATGCCCTAGACCAATAATCCTCAAAAACATTTTTACCCTTTTTCTAAAAGATACTGTTTGCTCTCCCTATTTTCCTTAGAGCCAGGTCCCATTCCATGGCTGAAATTCCACTCTGAATCACTAACCTGGTACATTACTTGGCCCTTCTTGGCTGCTGTTTCCGGAGGATGTCTCTGAAGTCTGGGAATTGCTTTCATCAAACTCTCGTTTAAATATACACAGGAGGCAGGAGATCCTATAATCCAACCTCACATTCAAAATAAACTGAAGATTCAAGTGGAAATGGAAACAGATTGGTTACATTAACATACCACCTTGACTCTGCCAAGCCACCACACACTGGCAGGGCCTGGTATCAGCTGCATTAATTACCTTAAGCACTAAGTGAGCCAAATATTTGGCTTAGATTTAACAGTCATTTTAACAACAGCAGACTTCCATGGGGCCTATGAAGTCTGCCCATAGCACCTTAGCTTTTAGTGTAAACTTCAGCATCCTGGCAATTAATTTAACAATTGGAACGCTGAATCACTCACTCCTGGCTCTATAATGGAGTCTATAAAACATGACTCCGTTTCAGTCAGTATTGAATGCCAGCTCTGGGCCTAACACTGAGAAGAGTGAAATTGCCTGCTTTGGATTTAAAAGAATTAAAAAAAAATTTGTTTACACTATGGAAAATTAGCTTGGTTCCTATTTCCTATTTCTGGCTGTTTCTCCTGGTTTGGGTACAAGCCCTTGGACACCCTCTTCTTTTGCCTCCTGTATTCCTTCACCCTCTGTTCTAACATCACTTTTCCCAGGACTGCTGCTAGAACCAAAAAGAAAGATGGAGCCACTGACATTATGTAGGGATCTCACTCACATTCTTCCTTTCTCCCCTTGTCTCTGCTCAGCCCTCCCAGAAACTTCTCCCAGGCCGAGGGCCGTCCCCTCTTCCACGGGGAGTCAGATCTCTGGCCTGCCCCTCTGCTCTTGGTTTACGCGCTCTACTGACTGTTGGACATCCCATCTGCTATTCACTCAGGGCCTCAAACTCAGTGTTGTACAAAAGTAACTGTGATGGTTAACTCTAGATGCCAACTTGACTGAGTTCAAGGATGCCTAGACAGCGGGTACAGCCTTATTTCTCTATGAGGAGGTTTCCAGGACAGACTAGCATTTGAATCAGTGAACTGGGTAAAGAAGATTCGCTCTCTCCCAGTGTGAGTGAGCACCATCCAGTCCACGGAGGGCCTGGACAGAGCAAACAGGTGGAGGAAGACCGAATCCACCTGTTCTAGAACTGGGACACTCATCTTCTCCTGCCCATGAGAGCTCCAGGTTCTTGGCCTGGAGCTGAGAGTTCTTTGGCCTCAGGCTGAGAGTTACACCTTCAGCTCCCCTGGTTCTCAGCCTTGGGATTCAGGCTGAATCACACCGCTGGCTTTCCTGGGACACAGCTGTGAATTGCAGACTCAGGGACTTCTCCACCACCATAACTGCGTGAGGCCAATTCCCATAATAAACACCCTCTTGTCTATCTATATGTACCCTATTAGATCTGTTTCTCTGGAGAGCCCTAATGCACTAACACTGTCAGTCTTGCCTTCATCGACTTTTCCACCTGGGTTTCTTCAACCTCAGTCAACTGCCTGATCATCGGCGCCTGCTTCCTGGACACATCTAATCAGAGACGAACTCCTGGTGGTTCGCCATCTACCACTTCTCACAGGGTTCTCCCCTACTGCTGTTTCTCCCTGCTCAAGGCCTCATTATCTCCTGCCTGTTCCATTTACAGAACCAAATTTACCAAATCCACCTCTTAACCACTTGTACTTATGTTAGCCTCCTGCTTGAGACTTTCAAAGGCTCAACACAGAATAGGCCTTAGCACTTTAGGCATCCAAAGCTTTGTGGAGTGTGGCTTGGTCCTCCTTTCCAACCTACTTCTGACAACTTCCCCTCAGCACACTCTATGTCCCTACTCAGAAGAACTGCCCAGGGCCGTGCATCCCATGGCACTCAGCTTCAGGCTACTCCATCCATCTGAGAATGGGCCCTTGATTCTCCATGTACAAAGCCTGTCCACCTTAAAGGCTCAGATGAAACCCTACCTCCTCCATCAACCCTTCTCTGATCTTCACCAGGTGAAGTCACGTGACCCCCACCCCACCCCACCCCCCGCCTCCGTCTCAGGAGAACTTTCTGGTGGTCTTACTTCCACATCCATACAGCCTCATCATACCTTACTCTCCCATCAGACTATAAACCCCTTGTGGATGGAGCCCCTGCTCAAATCATTTTTGCATTCCTCACAGTACACAAGGTAGGGGGTCAAAACGTATCTGTCGTAAGAATGACTCAACTGACCAATCCTTCTCAGGTCGCCACAGTGAGCGGACCTTAAGATGTGACCAGGTTTTGCAGCGTGTCGTTTCTGATAAACGGCCACGACACCACCTTGGAACACAGGTGCCACGGCCTGCAAATTTCATACGTATATTTTACCTAAACACAAGAATACTGAAAAAATTAAGAATAAATTTTATTTAAAAATATAATTTGAAAAAAGGAATCTTTCTCTACTGTTGGTCAGTCATAAATTCAGTCAGGTTTCTCCTTTACCGAAGCTGTCTTTATTGTCCTAATTACATGACTTTGAGACAACTCACTGATACTTTCAGAGCATTGGTAAAACGTGATTTCAGACTAAAAAAGCATCCGCAAGTCTTTAACATTTATCAATTTCTACTACATCTGCTGGGGTTGAGATCAGGCAACATGGAATCAAACAGGAAGCTGCTAACATGATTCTTTCCATTAAGGAGCAGATAATTTTGTTGATGAATACAAGTTACCCACACGGCACAGAAAGAGGGAGGCATGGGTTGTTGGGGGGTTCAAACAAAGCTGTAGAGGGGCTTGGGAGGGTTTCATGCCTAGGACTAAGGCTTCGCTATATACTGGATCCCACCCCCACTTGCCTACGTAAGGACTTTGCTCTTACAACTATTCTCTGCCCACACAGCAACAAGCTCTCCCTGTATACATGATCACCCCTGTTCACCATACAAGCTTGTTATAATCTACTCACTTAAAAAATATTACAACAAAAACCTTCTAGTTACCAACAATCACTCTCTGCCCATGTCCTCACTTCTCTGTGCATCCTTACAGGCAATCTGTCCAAGGAGTTACATATGTTTACTCTCCGGCTTGATCTTCTCCCATTCCCTCTTGAACCCCAACTGTTCCCGAACATGCCCTCCTCACCAGGGAGTCTTTGCATTTGCTGTTCCCTCTGCCTTTGGTACTGTTTTCTAGATAACCACGTGGCTAGCTCCTCACTTCACTCAGGTGTGTGATCACGTCACTGTACGGAGAGGCCTTCTCTGAAAACCTTATCAAACAAAATATCCCCAGCCCCCTGTCCCCAGTGTCTCCAAACCATCCTGACTCACCTTTACATTTTAACATCTTCGAACTTATTCTTAATATACATGTCCATGCCCTCTATCAAAATGTAAGTTCTAGAGAAGCAGGAATTTCATCTATTTTGTTCATTGCTGGATCCCCCCCGTGCTTAATGGGACTTGGCAACTTGGCCCAGAGTTGGTCTCAATAAATATTTGCTGACTGAATGGAAATGGGAAGAAGGGAGGGAGGCTTTGGAAAGTTGATGGAACCTTGAACCAAGTTATGATTAATAAGCAGGGATGCAGTTACATGGAGATGCACAGGTAAATGAATTCTATGCAGAGGGTTGGCATGGAGGCCAATGATCAAGGAAACCTAAGATAACATCAGCAAGTCATGGCCTGGCTGGAGGGACAAGGCCATGTTGGGAGGGTAGGAGATGGCAGTAAAGGGATTAAGAGGAGCCAGCTCATGAATGACATGGAGGGATGAGCTAAGAATTTGCCCCCATTTTCTTCCCATAAAGCTTTGGGCTCCATCAGAACAGAAAGACTGGATCTGAATGGTGCCCCTGTGACATATCCTCCCTGCCCCACCTACAGCTGATGGATACCTGGAGGATCTCAATGATCTTCAGCTTGGTGTCCATGACCATAATGTCCTCCTTCTCAGGCTCTGCCTGCTTCACATTGCCTTCAGGGGCAGCAGCCATGGGAGTCATGGGCAAAAAGCCTCCTCCCCGGAGCACCACCTGGGTCATCAGCTCTCCCACACCATGAATAGACCTCATCACGTTACTGCCTAGGAAAGGTCAGGACAGACCACGGTCACAACATATCTAGAGAACACTCAGAGGCATCTGTCAAGGGGCAGGGGCAGGGGCAGGGGCAGGGGCTTTTTGAGACTATTTAACACATCCCCATTCCAACATAATCTCAGGGCGCTGGGAACCTGGAAAGGTAAATACACATAAAAAATCTGGGCTTCTAGGAGCAATAAAAGATCGCGGGCTTCAAAATCCTCAGAGGGGCATTTCTGTGTATTAACTCACCCATCAATTTTTACTTTATTTTTTAAAATTTTCTTTAGAGGCAGGATCTTGCTCTATCACCCAGGCTGGAGTGTAGTGACACAATGATGGTGCACTGCAGCCTCAAACTTCTGGGCTTGAGCAATCTTCCTGCCTCAACCTTTCACGTAGCTAGGACTACAGGCATGCACCACTATACCCAGCTAAATTTTTTTTTTTTTGGGGGGGGGGGGGGTAGGGATAGGTTCTTGCTATATTGCCCAGGCTGGTCTCAAACCCCTGGCCTCAAGCAATCCCCCTGCTTTAGCCTCCCAAAGTGCTGGGACTACAGGTACATATCACTGTGCCCTGCCCAAATTTTACTGATCACCAACTATGTGCTTGTTATGAGCACAGAACTAGGTATATAAAAGTTAACAAGGCACAAATCCTGATGATTCTTGACCATAGGTGCATCTATTACCTCTGAGGCTCCGTTTCCTCATCTATAAAATGGATATAAAGGAGCTCAACAAAAGAACTAAATGGCATAATGTATGCGACATTACTTAGCACAAGACCTAGCAAATAGAGATAAGTCCATGTATTTTTCCTGTTCTAGCTGCCGAGGACCAGTTAACAACTGATACATGATACCAAATATCTGCCCACTCTGACCCTAAAACAATGGGAGAAATAAACATGCAAAGACAGATTGTCCTACTCACAAAATGGAAATAGCTATCAAGATACAAGCTTGGATTTTCTTACATCCTAAACAAATATTATCCAGGCCCTCATGAATGCCAAGAACAATGACAGGCCATATATTTGTTATATAAACATTCAAAATGTTAGGTAACTTTCAAATTGTTCAACAAAATACACACACGACTCACACATAAATACAAAGTAAAGACAACAAAATGTGAATAATTGTTGACTCAAAGTCATGGATACATGGGACTCCATCACACTGTTCTTTCAGCTTTGCTTTACACAGTATTTGAAAATGTTCACGACGAAAAGGTGGGAAGGAATGAACAAAGAAAGGAGATGGCATCACACATGGGGTATGACATGAGCCTAACAGGAAAGGCTGGGAGGGCATCTCTCAGATGTATGGGCACCCTCAGATACTCACTCTTCAGCTTCTCCACATCATTGTTACCTTTATTCTCTTCTCCTTTCGCCATCTTGCTAATGGGGAAGATTGTCGTCACATGTACACAGTCCAATATGGCCAGGAGGATCTTAGTTAATCGTAGAAGGTCAGAGAAATTGTAGAAACCAAAGTATATGAGATTCCTAGCTAAATTTACAACCTATCGTATTAAAAAAAAAGAAGATGGTGTTACATAAACTGCATCCCCTTCAGTTCCATTTGATGTTGACCACTATAGAAATTACAGACTTGGACCTTCCTTATGGTAAGAGAAGGCATGTATTTTGCTTGCACTTTCTGATAAAATTTCACTGTGTTTCTTACAGAGGAAAAATAAGAAATGGAAAGCTACCGATCTGCTGACTAATTAAAAAAAAAAAAAAAGACCTCATGATTTGCTCTGCACAGCTTCCCAAGGATAATATTAATACCAGGCAAGCAGAGTTATTCTCAGCAAGGACACAGACAACAACACTGCAATCCTCAGAAATACCACTCTTAAAAGACAAAAGCAGTCTCAGAGATGTTGTTAACTCAGAAGTAACAAGAACTTATGTTCTCAATGATTAATCTATGGTAGATCCCAAGCACAGTGTCTCTCTCGTCATTTTTAATACGAAGGGATGTTCTATCATTTTATGTAGTTCAGTTCACCTTGCCTATTTATTTTAAGAACATAACTACCATTAAGTCATGTGACTGGTATCCATTTTATTTTATTCTGGAACAAAACCAAGCTGAATTCCTTTCCATTACAAAACCAGAGCATCATGATCAAAATCACCACCTAATAAAATATTTTCTATTTGCCCTATAGAAAAATGACCAATGAGAGGCAGATAATACACGTAGATCATTTTATCATGAGTTACCTCAAACGTAAGCTTATTTTTCTCCTTATCAGAGAAAGGGAACCTCTGACAGACCACATCTCTTAAATACTCCTCCACAAACTCCATGGTCTGAGCAAATCTCTCCTTAATTTCATCTTTGGAAGCTCCACTACTATCATAGCTGAAAAGAAAGGAGAAAGAAAGTAAACAAAATTTCAAGTTACTCCCAGTGAGGTCTTCCGGGGTCACTCAGCTTCCAAAGTCAACATCCCCTAACCCTTTGTATCCCTTGACCCTAATTTCTTTCTTTCCTCCTTAGCACATATCACCAACTATATTTTTGAGTCATTTACCTTGCCTATTGTCTGTCTTCCCCCAACAGCATAGAGATTGCTTTCTAGTTTGTTCACTGATCTATTTTTTGAGCTTGGCACATAGTACACACTTAAATATTTGCAGAATGAAAGGGGAGATAAATGAGATATAAAAAACTTAATCATGCCATCTTTACATTCCTGAGGGAAATAAAATAAAATTAGTGGATGGCAAATTTAAGCTTAAAGAAAAATAAGAGCCAGGTGCAGTGGCTCACGGCTGTAATCCCAGCCCTTTGGGAGGCCAAGGCGGGCAGATCACATGGTCAAGAGATAGAGGCCATCCTGGCCAACATGGTGAAACCCCGTCTCTACTAAAAATACAAAAATTAGCTGGGCACAGTGGCACACGCCTGTAGTTCCAGCTAATCAGGAGACTGAGGCAGGAGAATTGCTTGAACCTGGGAGGCGGAGGTTGCAGTGAGCCGAGATCACACCACTGCACCCCAGGCTGGCGCCTGGCAACAGACCAAGACTGTGTCTCAAAAACAAAAAAGAAAAATAACAACATTTAATCTTTCTTCTATGACTTCATGAGACCATGCAGGGTTATCTACTGCTGCACAGAACAATGTAAAGCAAGGTTTTCGGGTGCCAGGCTCACTCGTCAATGGCGATCTCTGAAGGAATCTCTGACCAGAGGCGGGCATATTTCACAGGAGTGACTTGTTCCTGGGGATCTCGGTCCACATGCATGTGAAGCATGAGGCGGCAGAAGGATGCCCTGAGGTCGTAGGGCAGGTTCTCATCAGACATGCAGCGGAGAATGAGATCGACATCCAGCTGGCCTGAGATTTCATTGATGGCCAGGTATTGGCGGTCCAGACACATCCTCGCAAAGAGGTTCAGCTGATATCTAGAGGAAAGAACAGGGGTACACAGCTCATACTCCAGAAATCATTCGGGATGAATGCAGGGTCGTCCAGGCAGCCCTGACTTTCATGGGAGTGACATCTGGCCAACTAAACTCATACATCAACACCCCTAAGTTGCTCTTGTACACCAGGATTTCGGCTGTGGTACCAAGCAGATAAAAGAACTGTTCAAGCTGTGCAACAGAGTATGGGCTGATAGCCAACTACCCAGCTGTGTTGGAGCAATTATTTGATGACCTTATTCCGTTAGGTCCTTGTTTATTTTGTAAAATAAATGGGGGGAATGGTAAGCCCTAAGATGGTTATCTATTTCTATTCCTCCAGCTGTTCTTTATACAGTAAAGACCATATAGGAAATGTTAAAGATATCGCATATATTAAGCCTAATTAGAAATTTGGTAACATTTTAAAGATTTTATATCAGGTACTCACTCTAATTCCCACACATGTAAAAAAAACATTTCATGTACAAAAATAGGGGACTCCTCACTTTTCATCTTCATTCAGTGGCAAGTCAATGTTGTTAACCAGAATCTGACCAATTAAGGCACTCTTTCTCATTCACTTGGGAGAAGATTCAAGAAACGTTAAATGAGTAAACATACTTGAAATGTGAAATAACAAGAAAGTGACAGGCTTTCAAACTTACAAACACTGCCTGCTGAATTTAAAACCTTGGCCGAATACGGTGGCTCATGCCTGTAATCCAGCACTTTGGGAGGCCGAGGCGGGCAGATCATGAGGTCAAGAGTTCGACATCAGCCTGACCAACATGGTGAAACCCTGTCTCTACTAAAAATACAAAAAGTAGCCGGGCATGGTAGTGTGTGCCTGTAATCCCAGCTACTCGGGAGGCTGAGGCAGGAGCATTGCTTGAACCTGGGAGAGGGAGGTTGCAGTGAGCAGAAATCAAGCCACTGCACTTCAGCCTGGGTGACAAAGTGAGTCTCTGTCTCACAAAATAAAAACCCTATGTATTTTTAAAAACCATGATTTGAAGATACTCTCAGCTTCATTGGATATCAGGGAAATGCAGGTTTAGGCATGATTCTATTTCACCTCATAAAATTACCAAAAATTAAAAAGCACCATGATATTCAAGGTTAGTGAAGATATGAAGAAACAAAAGTTGTCATCTATACCTGGTGGGAGTGTACATTGAAACATCCAATTTACAACTGCTTAGTAAAGCTTAAAATATGAATATTCTCCAAGTCCAACTCCCAGTGTGGAATGGAAACTCATACATATACTCAGAAAAATTTGAATGAAGAGGTTTCTTGACATGAAGAACTGTGGCATGTGATCAAATACCAAACAGTGATGAAAATGTGATAAATCAATAAAACAGAATATCATTTAGCAGCCCAAATTAAAGAAATGGATCAGCCTCTATTAACACAGATATGCTTCAGTCCCATATTGAATAAATAAGGCTAGTTTTAGAACGGTATTTGGAGTAAAGGACCATTCATATAACATTTTAAGTACAGATAAAATACTATACATGATGTATAGATGCACACAAGCGTAGTACACAGAGAATGTAGACAGGATGCACACATCACACATGAATGAAAGAACAGAATACAGGAGGCAAGAAAAGGCATTTTATCTGCAAAGTTTTATTTATTTTATTGAAAAATAATAAAAGCCTTGGTCTTCCCTTTCCTTTTTTTCTAAAGTATTTATTGGTTCACTTCCCTTCTTTCTTCCCCTTCCCTTCCCTTCAGGTGGCACAGCTGGCAGGTCTTAGAGCAGGAGCCAAGGAAACACTGGGGAATGAGGAGGTGGCCGGCAGAGGTGAGACTGGTGACACACAGGGGAACGGGCAGACAGGTAAACATGTGGGAATCATGGCAGCTGGAGGGAGTCATTAAACAGAAAAAATGAAGGCTAGAATAAACTCTATGGTGTTGGAATGGAACTGGAAGTATTAGCATAAGCACATGATTTTTATAATTTGTGTAGATATAAACAGATATGTGGATAAATATGTAGGTATATATGTACACACACACACACACACACATACACACATCTACTGGTTCTCTCTATAAACATTTGGTGAGATTGACATGATCACCTTTATTTTGCTGATAAAGAAATTAGAGCATAAAATCAAATTTGACCAACGTCAAAAACCTGCTCAGTGGAGAGGTCAGGAATTGACCCCACAGCCAGCCTCTTACCTACCTACCACCGTATCTAGGGGGCCATGCTGCTTAAGGACAAACTGTCGCCAGGGGCTGATGCGAGCACTCATCCTTCTTGGGACCCAGCCACACCCAGATGCCAGTTGACTGAAATCTTACACTCTAAACTCTGTTTTTTTATCTGGCTTTTATCTAGACAATCTTACAGGATGACACCTTGTGATTCCTTGAAGTAAACAACAAATGAACAACAAATTCCTGTCACTGTTTTGGGGTACCCCAATCCGAGCCCCACACACCTGTAGTAGCTGAGAACATCCCGGTCCTCCTTCTGGCCTTCTTTAGCGTCCTGCGCCAACTCCCTCACACTCTTGCTGCGAATCTCTTTGTTGCTGTCCCTCCAAAACAGCCACACCTCTTCCTCATCTTCTCCTGCCTCCAGAGAATTCTCTCCAGTGGAAGAAACACCTTCAAACTCAAAACGAGAAAGAACCAACCTAGAAAACAAGAGGAGAAGGGAAAAGTTACTATTTTAATACGTTGAGATCCAGCTTCACTTTCAGCATAAAGACGTACGGAGAGCCACTTTGTGTTCTGCATTTTCCCCAAGGGAAGAGCCGCAGAGAGCCTGACATTAATGTCTTCATACACTGTACCCCAGTGATTCGCCACTCTGGTGCTGCTGCCCCCTGTGGACATTAGGCAATGTCTCTGGACAGGTTTTTGGTTGTCACTACTGAAATGGAGAGGTGCTACAGGCATCTCAGTGAGTAGGGGCCAGGGATGCTGCTAAACATTTTACAGCACCTGGGACAGCCCCCAAACAAAGAATTACCCAGCCCAAAATGTGAAAATACCTGAACTGAAAAAGCCTGCATTCACCCAAGCCCAAAACCGAGTTATAAGGAGAATCAAAGAGGTATCACTAGCTCAGGACATAATTTAGTTTTAAAAAAATAATACTGTCCATATTACTGACACTGTATTTGTCAGGGAAAACTGCTCCTTTGCCAAAAATGAATTACTACTGTTAACAAAAATTCTGCAGACCAATAAACACTTTATGAACAGTAATAATTTAAAACTCCTCCCAACACTGACTTAACAGTGAATATTAATTATGTCATTTGAGATTTTAAATTGATGATCATACTTACAAAGAGTTTTAAACTCTTCAAATGTAACTGTGTAAAATGCTCCTTGGTGAGTTTACATGACTTTTAAACTTGTATGCCAAGTAAGTGACACCACTGTGCAGAGGACACCACACCAAAATCAAATTCAGTAATTCTCCCAATCAAGACTTTTCCAATAAGAAGATCGAATACCAGCCACACTGACTTTAGATCAATTCAAAAAATGACAGGGCCAGGTTTTATTCCTCATGAGCGTCAACACTGACTGAACCACAGGTTTTCCATCTACACCCCAGCTCCCCACTCACTTGGTCTCAATCAGGATGTCAGCGTTGGTGGGATTCAGCACAGCTTTACATATCAGTTCCTGGGTCACTGGAATCGATTTGTTCATGGAGACACAGAGGTCGGAGAGGTAATCTAAGAATCTATCCAGAAACAGAAACAAAACATTTTCTGTAGACAGAGCAGAGGTTAGGCTCTTGGAGCCCAACTCTTCCTTAAGTGCACAGGTCCAACACACCTTTACCAAGACAAGTCAGCAGCATTCTAGGTCTCCATGTCAGTGTTTAGGGCACCCCTAGAAACCCACATGTCAGAAAGAAGGAAGAGAAAGCAAGGAGGAAAGACAGTAGTGGCTGTTGTCAAGGAAGAGGCAATGAAGAAAAGAGAAGAAGGAACAAGACAAGAAAGAAGCTGACGTAAGGAAGGGGTGTTGGAGACACAGGGGAACCACAGTGGTGAGAGGCAATGCCCCGATGTTGGCTACCGTTGTTGGAAGCCCAGTTAGGATCTTATTAGTGGAGTTCTAATATGAAGCGTTATTTGGAGAAATTACTTAATTTCACTGTGTTCATCTACAGAAAAGGATAATGTATCACCTCTGAAGGGTGTCCTGAGGATTAAATGAGATAATCCATGAAAAGTGCTTCCTTTGCTCACTACCTGGCCTGTGAGCAGACTCCAGAAAATGCGGGTTATTTTCATGGATGGTAGTAGGTGTTTTTATAGCACCTGTGTCCGCACTCCATTGTGATCATCTGTGACACCCACACTGTCAATTGCTTCCCACTTCAACTGAAAATGTGGGTCTTAATTACAAGGATAAGAGAAGGGGAAAGAAAAGGGAGGAGGGCATAGGGAAGAGGGGCAGATCCATGTGAATGAGATACAATCAATATAATTCACTAATCTATAATAAAAATGCTCAAGCAACAACTGAACTTGCAAGACTCTTACTGATTATATTGAGGCGGAGAGTGTTTAACTGATAATCAAGACTTGTTGAAACGCGAATGAGGCTGGGCACGGTGGCTCATGCCTGTAATCCAAGCACTTAGGGAGGCCAAGGTGGGAGTATCATGAGGTCAGGAGTTCAAGAACAACCTGGCCAATATGGTGAAACCCTGTCTTTACTAAAAATATAAAAATCCCCCAGGTGTGGTGGTGCACGCCTGTAGTCTCAGCTACTCAGGAAGCTGAGGCAGAAGAATTGCTTGAACCTAGGAGGCAGAGGTTGTAGTGAGCTGAGGTCGTGACACTGCACTCCAGCCAGGGCAGCAGAGCGAGACTCCATCTCAAAAAAAAAAAAAAAAAAAAAAAAGCAAATGAAAAGGTGAGATCTAGTCATTTGCAACAACATGGCTGGAACTAGAGGTCATTATGCTAAGTGAAATAAGCCAAGCTCTGAAAGACAAACATAGTATATTCTCACTTATTTGTGGGATCTAAAAATCAAAACAGTTGAACTCAAGAACACAGAGTAGAAGGATGGTTACCAGAGGCTGGAAAGGACAGTAGGAGGCAGGGAGGACATGGGGATGGTTAACGGGTACAAAAAAATTAGAAAGAATGAATAAGACCTACTGTTGATAGTAAACTAGGTAACTACAGTCAATAATTGTGCATTTTAAAATAACTAAAAGAATAGAACTGGATTATTTGTAACACAAAGAATCAATGTTTGAGGGGATGGATACCCCATTCTCTACAAGGTGATTATTACACATGCATGCCTATATCAAAACATCTCATGTACCCCCATAAATATATATACCTACTATTTACCCACAAAAATTAAAAACTTAAATTAACAACATTTTTTAAAAAGTGTATGAGTGGCCAACAATTGTCATTTACTGTGCACTACTAAGTGCCATCCACGTCACATGCATTTATTGTCATTTAATTTTCAGAACTACCCATTTAGCAGATGAGGAAATTAAAATTCAGGAAAAAAAGCCAAGCTCATCAAGGTGGTACACATTGGAACTAGGATGCACCCCCCAGGTCTCATTTTAACACTATGTTCTTGCCACTACTCATCAAAGAGCCTCTCGAGACCTAGCTAATCAAAACTTGTCACTAGTACCCAAGGAAGCATAGTAAAAAGCACCAGCTAAGTCCCTGCATCTTAAAGGCACAGACACCACGCCCCATTGACCCCATTCCTGCCTCACCTGGGCTCCCTGTTCTTTCGCACCAGGCTGACAAATGTGTCAATCTCTGCAGCCGTAATGTGTTTCTCTAGGAGTTTCCGATTATTGTGGAGCAGGGCAGTTATAGTGTCTTCGGCCAACACATCATAGCCAATCTGCTTCTGCATGAAGCCAAACTGCTTGGCTATATACTCCTTTAGGGGGAGAGAAAAGAGAGGTCAGCAGAAAGGATAAATGACAATATGGTAAAGTTTAAAAAAAGGAAAGCAGCAACATTTCCTGATAAGAACTTCTGCTCATAAGAGAAATTACAGTATAAGGGAATCTACAACTTTCTATCATAGGGCAACAGCTGCAAACTCCTTCACATCCTTTATTTTACTAAGCTTGCCACACAAATATAATTAAGCAAAATAGCCTGTATTTACATGTGGATATTTTATTAAGTACACAGTATAAATTTTAATCTAGTGATTTTTCAAAAAGGTCAAAAGCTGGTTTTCACTTCTGAATGTATTCTTAATTCAAGAGGACTTCATTGTGCCCCCATTCATCTGTGCTGCTAAATAAACACACATAAAGCCTACCTGGATATCTGGAACAATGTTACCCCATAAATGTTTCCTTTATCTGGGGTAAAATTACTTTTTTAAAGTCAATGGGTAGCATAAGAAGGTCAAGGATACTTAAGAAAATCCATCATATGCATGGAACTCAGGAATACATCTCTGGTTCTCTCTTTTGGGATCAGGTATCACATTCCATAGAAATATTTGTAAACTGAAGGAAATCTCTTACAAATACCTGTTTGTTTCTCTTCAAAGATACTTGCCTGGCCAAGACAGACTGCTTGCTCAAAGCTCAGGTGGCCCTTGAAACTTGCTTTAATTTTTTTCCCATTAATTCCTAAATCCTGGAAACTATTTAGGATTAATATAATGAAAGCAGGCTATGTCTTTCAGCCTATACTCCGTAAGGATGCACTGTTTAGGAACTCATCATCTGTCGACTGGCAGAGGATCCATAAACAGCTAAGCAAAGATGTCTAATCCAGCAATTCCAAGACAGAAAACTTCTGTTTCCTCATGTACAAGTGAAGTGCCTTGACACACCCCACAGACCCAGATGTGTGCTCATCTGAAGATGGGTGAGAGGAACAGAATAAAACCTCTCTGGCTATTGGATTATGGTATCAGGGCACCGAAGGTGGATTTAAAACAATCACAGCTTGTTACACTTCAAAAAAAGCACTATTCAAGATCAACACTATCTTTATGATGACACAACAAAAACCTTTAACTACAAAGAAAAAAGTCTGAAAGTCCAGATTTGGTGGCATTCAAAATCTTAAAAACAAAAGCCTTTTGCACCAAAAGGCAGAGATAGTTCACATAAAATGATAAAAGAGTCAAGGTTATAATAAATGCCATTTTGTATGCCTATGGTACTTCACGTGGTGCAAATATTCTAAACCTCAGCACTACTGACATTTTAGGCAGGATAATTCTTGGTTGTGGGGGGATGTCTGGGGCACTGCTGGGGGGTTTGAGCGTATCCCTGGCCTCCCCTCACCAGATGCCAGTAACACCACCAAGTTGTAAAAGAGTGTCCACACATTACCAAATATTCTTTGGAGGAAAAAATTACCCCCAGTTAAGAACTAATAATGTATCAATACAGTTCTCAGGTTCCCTTCGAATCTCAAGGTTGCTTAGAGACCACAAAGAGGTTAGAACATTTATTTCATAGAAGACTATACATTGTCTGTGTGTGTATATATATATAAATATACGTATACTATGTAAAATATACCTATGTATAAAGTATATCTGTAAACTTAGAATGTCATAAAACATGAGCCAAAAACAAAATAAAAATCTTATTTCTAGAAAGAGATGGAGGATTTTCAAGGTACTAGGAAGAAAAGACTCCTCTGTATCTTTAATTTAAACACATGGCATCATTTCACCCCTAAGCCCTAAGGGAATATGCCATAAAAAATTCTGTAAATGTAAAACCAACTCTAAAACCAGAAATCTCATAGAACGCTGTCTGCAGAAGAGAATTCTCCAGTATGTTTCTTAACGATTCTGTAATATTCTTCTTCCTGGGCTTGTGTTTCCTTCCCAAGAGTACGCTTAACACTGAACTATTCTCTATCCATTCTACAGATAGATATTGTGACACTAAAAATTCACGAGGAAAGTACATAAACTTCAGGGAGGAAACCGACCACATCCCACCAATGCTTAACCCCAACCTGGTTCTTCCTGTAGTCTTGCTGTGAGTGTCTCAGCACCCTGTAGCAGAGTCGGCAGATGTGTCTGAAAGGAGCGTGCCGCTGGTCTCCGAGCTCCTCTAGCCGAAGCATCGGGCCATCACCACAGTCTGTGAATGGGGCTTGTAACAACTTGAAGATCTGTTTGTGAACACGGAAAGCAAAAATGACCATCACCTAGGGCTCCAACGCTAACCCTCTGTTTGGAAGTAATGCAAGCTCAAGGGTGGCCGGACTACACCAGGAAGTTCCTCTCTTCAAACAAATCCAAAACCTGAACACTGCATTCAGTCCATCAACTGGGATGGGGGACTTGATGAATTGAGTCCACCTGGACTTGACTGGTCCTCATATATCTAACAGCACAGTGTTTAGAGCAAAGTAGTTCAGAACAGAGAAAATGCAATCAGCAGATTCTAGGTGGAAACACATACCTTTACTACTTGCTAGTACTACAATCACAGCCAAAGTAAACCTCGATTTTCTTACCAGCAAAATGGAAAGAACAATACCTACATCACAAAGGTGTAATAAGGATGAAAGTGGGTAATTTTAAGTCACACTAGTGCCCAGCACAGGTTATCAATGAAGACTCCTGCCAGTGAATCAGTTATTTTTGTCTCTCAGGAATCACTACTGTACAAATGAGCATGGGCATTAAGCCAAAGGTCTAAAATGAGAATCAACATATGAAACAACAGCTGGACATTTACTGTTGGACTGGAAATTCTTGTTGAAACATGATGGATTATTAACAAATTCTGCCTATCATAGACCAACATGAAAAAACAATCTCAAATCCCATGTTCCATGGAAAACAGTGAGGCTTGTAACTAATACGTTTCTCTTTTAGCTTTGACAGCAAGGAATTCCCATGGCAAGCTTGTGGGCTAACCTCCAGCTGGGTTATAGAATGACACGGTATGCATCTCTGTGCATTTAATCTGCTCTGCATTTGTCACTTTACTGCCTCTAATTGGTCTTTGTACTAGTTTATTTACGTTTACATCTAACAATATCATCTACGTTATTTCCTGTCAACTGCTACTCATCCTTTAAGGAAAGATTTTGTGGTGACTTACAGGACCCTCTGTAAGAGCCTATACAGGCCGTCTGAGTTTAGAGAATATGCCAAATGTCCCAAAAGTTGAAATAAGCTTAAGGTCACATTGCACTTGACATTATTTTTGAGAAAAATAAAGTTGTCAACTGAATGTTTCTTGAGGTTCCTAACAGGTAAACTCTCACATGATTGATATCCAATGGTAAAAGTATGCTAAAAATCAGTTGAACTGAGCTAATAAGCTGTGAATAGACACTGAAGAATCTCAGATGCACATCACTAAGAGAAATCTGCCTCTCTGAAAAGGCACATACTTTATGATTCTAACCCTGTCACATTCTGTAAAGGGAAAACCATGGAGGCAGGAAAAACATTCATGGTTCTGAAGGGTTAGCAGGAAGGACAGGTGAATGGGGGAGCATAGATGATTTCAGGACAGTGAAACTAGGCTGTATGATATTATAATGGTGGCTGAAAGGCATCACACATTTATCAAAACCCATAGAAAATCAAACGCCAAGAGAGAACCCTAATGTAAACTACAGACTTCAGGTGATAATGATGTATCAATGTTGATTCATCAAATTGTAACAGATGTCCCACTGTGATGCAGGATGTGACAGTGGGGAGGCCAAGTATGTGAGGGGAAGAGGGATATGGGAACTCTCTGGACTTTTTGCACAACCTTGCTGAGAACCTAAAACTGCTCTATAAAATAGTCTATTGAAAAATCAGTGCATCAAGCCTTCGAGGTGGGAATCACCAGCATCCCTCAATTATCCCATTGATTTATATTTTTCCTTTTTTTTTTTCGAGACAGGTTCTGTCTCTGTTGCTCAGGCTAGAGAGCGCAGTAGTGCGATCTTGGCTGACCTCAACCTCCATCCCCTGGGCTCAAGTGGATCCTCCTGCCTCAGCTTCCCAAAGTACTGGAATTACAGGCATGAGTCACTGCTCCTGGCCATCCCATTAATTGCTCATAAAGCCAAATCCCTAGTATGCCACATATCACCAACCTGCTTGAGAATATTCTGTTCTCTCATCAGTTTCTGCCGTTCTCTGTTGGGCTTGGAGAAGACAACTTCAAGAACATCTTGACCAGAATTAGTTCCTCCAGTGACAAAGTAAACCAAGTCTTCCAGCAGCTTGGTTACAGACCTTAAGAGGAAAGAAGCTATTATAGATAGATGTGCTCAGCATTCAGCAGGCTGGAAGCTTCGCCTTGGAAGCCTTCTGGACTAATGAGCCAGTTACACTGGGGCAGACCCACTCTTTCCAATTTCTTCAAAACTGACAACCAAGGCCAAGTACCAAAGAGAGTGAAAGAAAACACATCATTGTCCAGAAAAGGATGATCAAATTTTATCTCAGAGTAACCTCATCCCCTGACATTTAGTAATGTGGTTCTGGAGACCAACTTAGAGACAGAAAAAGAGAGAGAGAGAGAGAGAGGGTGGGGGGTGGAGAGAGAGACAGAGAGAGAGAGAGGGAGAGAGGGAAAGAGGGAAAAGGGAGAGATGGAGGGGGGGAGTGGGGGAGGGAGGGAGGGATCTTTATAACTTCATTATTATTTTTTGAGATGGAGTCTCACTTTGTCACCCAGGCTCAAGTGCAGTGGTATGATCTTGGCTCACTATAACCTCCACCCCATGGGTTTAAGCGATTCTTCTGCCTCAGCTTCCCGAGATGTTGGGATTACAGGCACCCACCGCCAAGCCTGGCTTATTTTTGTATTTTTAGTAGAGATGGGGTTTCATCACATTGGACAGCCTGGTCTCGAACTCCTGACCTCAAGTAATCTACCCGCCTCAGCCTCCAGAAGTAATGGGATTACAGGCGTGGGCCACCACACCTAGTCTTCATAACTTTAGACTCAAAAAATGAATGCAAAAGTACTATTTCTCAAAAGTTACAAATTGAAGCCACCCACAAATGCCAAGGCCTGCTACTCCACGTTCAGCTGTTCAGAGTCACCATGGATGTCAGAAACTCTCAGTGGGGGAGAACGGCTATGCTGAGCACGCAGCAGTGCTCACCTCCTTTCATTCTGGGTGATGGTGCCCTTCTCCAGCTTCCCAGCAATGGAGCCCAGCACCTTGCTGGCATCATTGGCAAAGTCGAGGTCCCGAACTTCAGCAGGAGAAACTGGAACTATGGCAAACGCTTCCTTATCCTCCTTCACAGGAGAAGTGCCAATCTGAAATTCAAGGTGGTCCTTGTGAGATAATCTCTTGGATGGGAAGAGTAAGATTTTAACCAAACACTACATTTACGAGACATTGGCTGATCCCAACGTAATGGAGCTATCTTGCAGTTAAAATGACATAGGAAAAAATTCTGGAAGGAAGTACTCCAAATGGTTAACAGTTGTTATCTCTGGAAACTGGTATTACAGGGACCAGTGAGGCAGGAAAGGGGCACTACTCTCATTTTTAACTTCATTTGTTACAGGGAGCATGCAAGATGCTCATGATTAAAGGTGTTTGTAAATACACAATGAAAAAGCAAATATGGAAAACGGTAATTAATGAATCTAAGTGAGGCGCATTATAAGGATAGACACTGTACCATTATTTCAACTTTCCTATAAATGTAAAAACATTCAGTAAAGAAATAAAAAAACTGTAATAACCTTCCCCAATGCCACAACAAAATAAGTTATATGAGAGTATCCTTCCATTTTTTAAAAGAAAACCCTCATGTCTATGTATTTATACTCTATGAGCCTAGAGACAGCGGGGGAGGAGAAGCAAGGAGAGAAAGTAAAGGGGCTGAGAGAACATTCATGAAATAGAAGCATACATTGCAATAGAGAGAGAAATAAATACTAGAGATTGGGGGAAATTGACTAGATACTTGTTTTTCCTCAAGTCACAAGCAAATATTCCCTAGCCCAAATGATCCTTCAGATAGTCACGAAATGTGGCTGAAATCCATACAATTGCTCAACTATTAGGGCAGAGGTCATGGAATAAAATCAAAAGTTTTAATTATTTCAAAAGCCCTGGGTTTGCTCCACTCAGGTCCCTTGGAGAGAATTCTTTTGTCACATTCAAGTTTGGCCATGACCACGCTCTTGCCAAAGAGACAAAACTCCACAGCTCTATACTCCCTGATCTGCCCTCAAAGGAGCCTTTCATTAGGAAACACAAGACCAAAAAGAGACAAGCAAGTCCCAGAACTTACTTTCAGCATCACAGGCTTTTCTTCTTCCTTGTCAATAGGAATATTTGTGCTGTGAACCCAGGTATTAGTACACAGGTGTCTGAGCCGAACATAAGAGTTCCTAACAGGGAAAAAAGAAGGGTCTTAAGGAAGGAAATATTCAGGTTTACTCTGTAGCCTCTAGTCTAGAATATATTCTATCAAAACGGAAATATCAAAGTGGTTTCCCACTGCATACCCTGGGAAATATACACTTCGGAGCAAATGGTTCAGGTCCAAGCCACATTCTGATTCATTTACAATAGAAAATTATTCGTAATGTCTCTAAGGTTACCGCTCTATGCTACATTTCTAAATATAAGATCATAGTCCACGAATGAGTGTTTCCGCATAAACGAAGCCTAAGACAGAGCAACAAGAAGTGCTTACAGGGCATATATTAGTGTTTATCACAAGAAATAATAATAAAGCAATGATTGAAATTTTCATATGGATCAGTGAAACAATAAATGATATCATAAAATTTCTGGCAAAAAAAAATGAATATTTACTAATCTTGTAGTAGGGAAAGCCTTTTGAATCATGTAACAACATGTAAGATTCCTAAATTTTAAAAGTAAAAGATGGCTAACTCTCATTACATAGTTAAAATTTTATATCATCTATACAGAAAAAAAAAAGAACCATCATAAACAAAGTTGGAAGAAAAAACACCATAGCCTGGAAAATCAAAGAGTAACACGCTGCATTAAAAGGTTATTACTCTACACAAAGAGCTGTTACAAATCAATAACAAAACCATGAATATTGGAAGTGAAAATGGAACAAGGACACGAACTGTTAATAACGAAATACAAAGGGCCAAGAAACATGGAAGTATAGATTCAGCCTCCTTAGTGTAGGAGTTACACATGTTAAAACAATGTATCACTTTATTGTATCATATTCCAAAGATCTTAAAGACTGATAAAACCCAGTATCAACAAGGGCCTAGGAGAGTAAATCCTATGTATTGTTGATGACAGCGTAATCAAGTAAAACTCTGAAAAGAAGTCTAGCACTTTGTAGAACACATAAAATATACCTATGCTTTCAACTACCAAGCCTATTTTCAGGTATTTTTCCCTAAATGGTGGTAGCACAGGTGCAAAATGAGGCAAACAGATGTTCAACAATGCATTATGTATAATAATAAAAACTGTAAACAATCTGATATCTCAATAATGGACTAGTTAATATAATAGAATACAATTCTATTATATTCTATTGTTGCAATGTAATATTAATGCATTACATATTAATACATACATAATAATATTGTATTAATACAGTATTACAGAATAGAACAGTCCAATAATGAACCAGTTAATACAGTATTAACTAGGTGATACTACAGGTATTTAAAGATGATTACAACTGACCACAACATTTTTTTTTCCTTTGGAGACAGGGTCTCACTCTGTCACCCAAGCTGGAGTGCAGTGGCGCCATCTCAGCTCACCACAACCTCTGCCTCCCAGGCTTAGGGGATGCTCCCACCTCAGCCTTCCAAGTAACTGGCACTACAAGTATGTGCCATCATGCCTGGCTAATTTTTTTTTTTTTTTTTTGCATTTTTTGTAGAGTCAGGGTTTTGCCATGTTGTCCAGCTGGTCTCAAACACCTGGACTCAATCAAGTGGTCTGCCTGCTTGGGCCTCCCAAAGTGCTGGGATTACAGGTGTGAGCCAATCGCATCCAGCCTGATTAAAACGATTATTTAAGATGATGACAACTGATAATCATGTGCTTGGAGATATACACGAAATACAGTATTTGAAAAATGTTCAAAATAGCTTATGATCCCATCTATAATAAATGAGACAATCATCTCCATGTGACCAGAGACTTCTCTAAAACTATATAAACCAAAATATTACCAGTAGTTGCCTCTGAATGATTGAAACACAACTAATACTTCATGAGGGGCCATATGTGAAATCCATACATGACAGTGACATTTCCACTAACCAGCATCATACTGAAGAGTCAGAATTGCCCAAACAACTCTATCTGTCTTAAACATTACAGATTTTGGATTCTTCTGTGGGACTCACTGACTTACAATATGTCGCTTAAACTCTCTGAGCCTCAGTTTCTTCATCTACAAGAAAGCGTGATAGCAACACCTATCTCACTGGGTTTTTTTGTGAAATATGAAATTACATAACACAAGTAGAGCTCTAGCCTTATGCCTAGCATGCAGTTAGCGCTCACTCAGTGTCAGCCATTATTATTAATAGTGTTGATTCTGTTGCTAAGAGTAAGCTTTTTTCCCATTTGCAGTCCAGTTACTTTCCCTCAAAAAATGCATTCTTAGGCAACAAGACTAAAAGTTAAATTTAATAAAATAAAGATTTCTGGTCTAACGTCTCAATCCTTGTAAAAACAACTTACTACACACACAGTGAATATCAGGTATTTTATTTTCTGGAGTTTGTCTTCAATGGTTTATTTAATTGCCATTCAATTTCCTAGTTTCTTCTACTCCCTTCCTCTTTACCCAAACCAAGAGCTGTGCCAAGGTTCACGGAAGGAGGAAGGGAGTAGAGGGAACCAGGAAAATGGAGCTACTTGGGCTTACGGTTTGGCTTGTTTCCCTAAATATAGCACTTCTCATTCAACTACTGAGAACTTACCAGTGATGAACCATTAAAAAAAGTCAGTTGCCATATTGCACAGCCAGGTCAAACCTTTCACTAAATCCTTTATAAAAATCTAGAAGAAAAGGCAGTAATGATTTGGATTCCAAGAAACCTGGTCAGGACACCTAAACCGGGCCTGATTCTTTTGGGATAGGCAATTTTAAAATCATACCTTGGTACAAGGCTGTCGCCTCCACGGAGGGTGGTGGGGTCTAGCTCAAAAATGGAGGAGATGTCATTGCCTTCGGGCACAGAGACCAGGGAGTACACCATCTTTTCTTGGGCATTTCGCAATCTACTTCGAGAGGCGTCCTGATCAGGGTCTACCTGAGGAAGAAAAGTCTTCAAATCAAGAACTGTGCATACCAAACCCTTCACTCTCTACAATTATTCCACAATCCACAGGAACGGAGAAGAAAGGATCGCGAATGTCAGCAGTTGGCAGGAAAAGGACCACAGTTATAGAGCAGTCCTAAAAGATGACAACTGGCCATGCAGCCTCTTCGTGTTGCAATAAAAATGTTCCGACCGGGCACAGTGCTCACATCTGTAATCCTAGCACTTTGGGAGGCTGGCGGGGGATCACTAGATCAGGAGTTCAAGAACAGCCTGGCCAAGATGATGAAACCCCATCTCTAATAAAAATACAAAAAAGTCAGCTGGGTGCGGCGGTAGGCACCTGTAATCCCAGCTGCTCGGGAGGCTGAGGCAGGATTATCACTTGGACCCAGGTGGCAGAGGATGCAGTGAGCTGAGATTGCACCACTGCACTACAGCTTGGGTGACTCAGTGAGACTCTGTCTCAAAAAAAAAAAAATGTTTTAACAATGTGGAGTTACCCTAATAGATGACTGTGGAAGCAGTGCTCTAGTTGATAAAGACCTCTACATAGGTACATCCAACCACAGGAGCTGGGGGAGAGGGAATTTTGAGGAAACTCATCCTGCAGATTTGGTTATGGGTAGCTGTATTCATCTATAGTGATAACTGTCTACTGACAATAGGATACAGCGACTCCCCAGGAGAAAAACTAAATAAAATAAACCTGAATCCAAGTGTTTGTAGGCAGTAACCCCAACAGAGCCAAAAGAAATATTTGAGAAGTCAGCATTGCCCTGAAAAAGATGTCCATCATTAATTGAGAGGGCTGCTGATGACAGGTCAGGGAAGATGGGCCTCTCCTGCGACATCAGGGATTTGGCTGAGAGCGAAGAAAATCTCTGACAGTGAAGGCTGAGGAACAATGACAAAAACTTTCCTGGGAAACTAGAAAAGCACATTCTAGGCTCCAAAGCCCATCTGCCTACAGAGATTCAAGGAACGGGCTTAGACAAGGAGCCAGCTCAGAAAGGCTTGGCCAGTGCGCTCTCTGCCTGGCGACTCTACGTTGGGTGATTTTCCATGTCTAACATCCTTGCAGCATAGCAGCATCCACCTGCGTCCACGGGGGAAGCACATTTTCTTTGTCACTACAGTCTGCTTTTCCTAGGCTGAAGCTCTGCCTCCTTTCCAGATGGGGAGGAAGACGACTTCACCAGGAAGACAAAGGAATCAAGAAACAGAAATGAAGTCAAAGGCAAAGGAGAGCACCCGGGTGACTCTAACACCACGGAGCCTGAAATGCAGGGTGCAGGGCAAAAGCCTGTCAGTTCAGCTGCAGCCCCCAACTTCTGTGTGTGTGTTTTTAAAAAAGGTTCTTTTAATACCCAAAACCTGTATGTCCTCCATTTCTCACATTTTCTCCTGTAATCACTCATCCCTTCACCTGAATCAACCCCAGATCCTTATTCTATCTACACTAAAGGAAGAATTACCTGGAGAGCAACAGAACACTTCTACAACCTCAGTTCAGGAGTAAGAACTTTGAGCAACATTTGTTCTCTCCTAACCACCTGGCAAAGCACTCCACGTGCTGCTTTCAAAATAAACTCTGACGCAGTTATGGTTTGAGATACAGGGCTCAGCTACAGGCTGGCAGTTAAGTTTCAGAGACCTGCGGGAGTCGAGAGGAAAATCACAATTGCATTATGCCGAATGCATCTGGAAACGTGACTGAGAGGCAGCGTCCTGACATCCTTTCAGTGTGCAGTCAGCGCATGCCACCTAGTGGGAAGAAAGGCACATGTGCAGAAGCCTGGCAAAGGAGCAGGAGCCTCTGGTGGTCCTTTTCCTCCCTCTGGCGCCAAGCAAGTGGCTTCAGGGTCCTGAATTTAGAAGGACAAGCACAGCAAAGCCGAGTGAGGTCAAAGGCATAAACCACAGGCACTGACGCTGTTCTTAGGGAAATCAACCAACGATCAGCATAGAATGAGGTGCCTCCTCTCCCAGACTCAAACCACCCAAGGTTTTCCCCCCACATTTCCAAACCAAGAAGAGTACAGGGGGTGGGATCCTCCCTGTACTAACACCTTGCCACAGAGGCAGATCTGTGCTGTTGGCCATGTGGGTGCTGGGTAAGCCCCCTTCTCCAAACACCCCTCCTCTGCACGCAGCCCACCCCCAATCAACATCTAAGTAGCCAGAGCAATGCAGCCTAGATCTGCACTCAAGGCTGCTGGCACATCCACCTCTCTGACACAAGGAAGCAGGAAAACATCAAAAAACTACTCAACTCTGAGGGAGCATGAGATGCGGGAGAAATCAGGACTACTATCAATGGCTGCTTCCTCCTCTGTACCAGGAAGGTCCTAAAACCCACCCTAACTCCTTTTACCCACTGCTATGCAGCCCGGACAACCTGGTGGATGCAAAGGCACTAAAAATGCTAATGATCTTGGAGAGTTTGAAAAATGCCACTTGTACAGATGAAGGAATTGAGGCTCATAGAGGAAAAGTAACTTGTCCAAGGTCACACAGCTCGTAAGTGGCATGGCTGGTATTTAAACTACGCTCTTCCTCCTTCACTGTAAATCCAAGTCTTCCCCCCATATCAGGAGGCCAAGGCAGCAGCCCTCTACCCGCCAGAGCACAAGGTTCACTTGGACATCAGCGCTCACTGAAAGGAGCCGCAGCTTGCCTCATCTCAGAGGTAAGACTTCTTCCAAGTCACCACAGACAGCAGCAGCATGGAGACCGGTGGATGTCGGCCACACAGACGCAGCTCCTTCCCTTGAAATAAAGAAGGTGCAAGGACAAGAACTGTCTTAGGAAACTCAATGCCCATGCCAGTCCAAGTGTTCAAACAATAACTACATGAACACGACGTACAGAAGTTTAACAACAGAGCTCCTTGTACACTGACAGATTTAAACTACGTCAGTGTTTTCCAAGCCATATTAACTGTGGAAACAAAGCTTCCAAAATGAACTCTGGAAATAGAGGTGACAAGGAAGAAGAGAAGTTAGGTGAGCCTTGGGTACCCCAGTAAGGAGCAGAAAGAGGAGGAGAAGCTCCCCAGCAAGTTCACAAACCCACAGCAGGAAGGCCTCAGCTAGAGTGCCTTTCAAAGCCAACATTTCAGCAAGCTATCACTAGAAGGATATGCATGACAGCAGAATTCACACTTTCCAAGGACAATTGCAATTTGAATTCCCTCCACCCAATTCCCTTCCTATGTGCCTTAAGAAAATCCTTCCATTTTCTTTCAAAATCTTGCCAAAAAAAAAACACCCTCAAAACCACCTTCTATGCCCACTACTGAGATCATCATGTAGACACACACGTCAAACCAAGAAGCATCTTTTTTTTTTTTAATCCTAGACCAGAATCAAGCACTCCACAAGAAAAGTGTTACATTTATACCCCTAATCTCCACGCAACACAACCACTGCCTTCTTCAACCCATAAATCTGGACACCTCAAGCCCAAAGTGTCTACCTGTCAGTGTTACTTGGCAATATGGTCTCTAGAGAAAGATCCATTTGCACTTAAAATTCCAAACCACATTCTACACTAAAGCCTATTTCTGACTTTGCAGAAATCAAGTACGGATTGTTAGACAGCTGAGAGTCTAATCACATGGCAGGTGCACCATGCTTCATGTGTTACCGCCATAGCCTCAGTAACACTATCCACCTCACACAGTTACTCCCTGAAAAACCTCTGTGAGCCACAGAATGAGGTCAGTAGCAATAAGACAATTGGTTTTAAAAGGCCATTTTCTGTATGGGCCATCACTGTCTCCAACCCTAGGAGTCCTCCAAGTGATACCAGAAACTTCTCCAATTTGGAAACAGAGGCCCCGTTACTACACACATAAATACCATCATGAACAACAGTCCCTGGACCAATCAACACACAAAGGACTATGATCCCTCTCAAGGGAAGCACAGAAAATGATCCTGTTTTATGGGAGCCTAGCGTTTCTCCTTCCCCAGCACTCAGTGACTACAGTGACGGGGTCTTAAATGGAGCTCCAGATCATTTGGCCGCACCCTACTGGATGAAGACAAGAAGGCTCTTGTCCATACTTACTGAGGGCTGAAACTCCAGGCATTCTTCCTCAAAGTCAGGGTCTACCTGATGAAAAAGAATCATTAGGAAATTAAAACATCCATTGCTTTCTTAAGGACTGGGCCCCACTTGCAGGAGACTCAAGGGCTGCAAACATCCTTGAACAGCTAAGAACTTGTCTGTCCCCTCTGTTCACAAAACCAGCATGCCACGACAATGACACAGGCCACACAGGTACAGCACACATGGAACATCTACCAGTCACCAAGAGACGGCTCTCAAGTGTAGACAGAGAAAGACAATGGATTCACTGGCAAAGCAATAGTTAAAAGCCTGAGATGAATAAAAGATCAGTACACAGTCACTGATAATCCTGCCTATTTTTAGCTAAGAATAAAAAATTTAAGCCTCCAGCAAGAGCTGTATTAGCCTCAAAACATAATAGATAATGCCACCACCGTCAGTCTTCCCCAAACCAAGTAAATCAACATGTCTCACGGCTAATTAGCTGGGTCCATAATTCTCTATGGCTTTATCTGAAATTTGAACTTAGGCTTCTTGATTTTCAGTTCTTAAATATATCAAAATCATCAGCTCATGTATTAGGCACCACGGGGGGCTGAGCAAACTCAGAGCCAGCCTTCGTCAGGCCAGGCACCGGAGCAGTGCTGACATCCACCATCACCTGCGACATCTCCCAGAGGTCTCATGGGTGGTCCCAGACAACAGTGGGGGTCTTCTGATGCATGACTATAATTACGATAGAAATATGCATCGTACATCCCCCAGCAGATCGAAGTAAAACTCAACATCAGTCACACAGTAGGATGGCTCCTTCACCTGACACAAAATTAAAAGGTAAATTCCTCCTGTCCTTCAGCATTGAGACTTTTGTCTCCTCAAAAACTCTTCATAGACTTCTTTTTTTTTTTTTTTTTTTAAGATCAAGTCTCATACTGTCACCCAAGCTAGAGTGCAGTAGTGCGATCTCGGCTCAATGAACCTCTTCTGCCTCCCATGTTTAAGCGATTCTCCCACTTCAGCCTCCCAAGTAGCTGGGACTACAGGCGCACACCACCACACCCAGCTAATTTTTGTAGATACAGGGTTTCACCATTTTGGCCAGGCTGATCTTGAACTCCTCAGCCTCCCAAAGTTATGGGATTATAGGTATGAGGCACTGTGCCTGGCCCTTTCACAGACATTTGGTAAAGTTAATTTCTGTGATTTTTGACATTCCTACAAGTAAAAGACCGCTGTCTATTCTTCTAAAGCTCTGAGTAGTCAAATTTCTTTATAAGATCGTCTAATTCCTTATACATCTTAGTGCTTCTGTCTCTACATATCCTGTTTCTGCTGCAGCCTCGGTCACTCACGCTGGGTGTGGGGCTGGGAGACAAAACGTGGGGAGGGTAGCATGTAACAGCAAAATGGAAAATACTGAAAACCTAGATTGGCATTACCTTCTAACTTATTTTCTCCCCACATCTTGATCAGCACCCCTGCCACATACTAAAATGTGATAATCATTTTTGACTCTTCTAGGGAAACGAAGCAAAAGAAAACAGAAAAACAGGAGGAAAAGCAAAGTGACTGAGTGTATTTCCTTAAGCCTTTAGTACATGATGGCTATACAAGGGGATGAGAAAAGGTGGTGAGGCGTGTTAGCCTTGAAAGAGAAAACCACAGGGGCTGCTACTTACCTCTGCTGCCAAGTAATGCCCTGTGGCCAGGTGCTTGAAACGGAAAAGGCTGTTCCAATACCCTGCTCCGCCCCGACACGGGTCATGTTGGACCACCTGCAAGAAGAATGAACAGGCATCAATAAAACGTCAACCTACACTAGAAAGACGGTGAATAGGAGGCATCACACGTCATCGTTCAGGAGTGGTATTTACGAGCTGGAAAAAAAAAATCACCATCATCAACAAACCCATTGCCAGTGTCATATGTAACATCCAAACTCAAAAGTAAACAATGTCTCTCCAAAGAAGGAATTGAGTCTCCTGGTTAATATGCAATGGTTGGGATAAAAACTTCAATGTTTTTCAGGTTATTTGCCTTAGCCATAATGAAGTAGCAGATTCTTAAACTTATCTACAAAAAGCACAGCCAATAAAAGAAAACTTACCTACAAAAAGCACAGCCAACTTCATGGAGAACTGTCAATGCAACCTATACACATACGCATGTGCCAGAACACACACACACACAGGCCTGTGCTCTGAAATGTAAAACTCAGTGCCTGGGCCAATGTTATCAGAAAAATAAATGTCACATCAGCTTCTGGCCAAGATAGAGTTAACTAGCACTGGTAGTTGATGCCATAAAAAATCAGACACTGCAGAGAATAGAAGAAACTGACATAAAGAACTAGAAAACTGTATAAAATATCCCGAACAACTGTGTTCACACGTTGGACAGCTGGTAGTACACAAAGGTGATCTCTGAGAACCGCGAAATAGACAAGGCCAGCTCAGCTATTGCTCTGATTTTGTTTTTCTATTTTTGTTTTTTGTTTTGTTTTGTTTTTTTTTGAGATGGAGTCTCACTCTGTCACCCAGGCTGGAGTGCAGTGGTGCGATCTCAGCTCACTGCATCCTCCACCTTTGGGGTTCAGGCAATTCTCTGCCTCAGCCTCCCAAGCAGCCGGGAGTATAGGCGTGCACCACCACACCTGGCTAATTTTTGTATTTTTAGTAGAGATGGGGTTTCACCATCATGGCCAGGCTGGTCTTGAACTCCTGACCTCGTGATCCACTCACTTTGGTCTCTCAAAGTGCTGGGATTACAGGCATAGCCACCATGCCCAGCCTGCTCTGATTTTCTACCCGGGGAGTTCTCTTTGGATGGCAGCACGGGGAGGAAGAATCCAAGCTGAGGACATTAAGCTCGTGGAGTTACGGAGACAGATCAAAGATTAGGGAGACCGAGGCAGCTAGAATTTGTGGGGATGGACTACTAATGCACATAGAGCTACTCACAGAAAAAGCTCTGGAATTCTGCACAGGAGCCTCCTTTGAGTTTCTGGCTGAACATCAGACTGCACATGTATAAGGCAAGACCCTATGAGGCCAAATGAAGAAAAACAAGGAGTCTGAAAGCTCAACATTCCCAGAGCTCACACAGGGCTGGGAGGAGTCCTGATTCTGAAAAGCGAAAGCAGAGAAACCATGTGGAAGGCCCTGTGCATTAGTAGACACATCAAAGTGGTCCCATCTTGGAAGTGGGGGCTAATCTAGCCCAAAAATTAAGGCTACACAATATCTGACTGAATAAACCTTGAAAATAAGCCTCCAAAGGACCAAAGCGATCCACGAGTCACTTTAGTGTCTAACAAAAGAAAATTCAGTCCTCTTTAAAGGAGCAATAGACTCCAAACACTCAACAAACTTATATTACAATGCTCAGTAAATAAAGGACTAGACAAAGAATCAGAAAAATGTGACCCATGAACTCAAGATTTGTCAGACAGTATCAAATAATCCAGCATATGTCTATGTGGATTGGTGGGGGCAGGAGAAATATTTCACTCATAAATATAATGATGCAAAGTTTTCCCATTCTGACATATACCCATAGTTTCAAGAAACTCATTGAACTCTAGCAGAGTAAACAGACAGACACAGAACACATACACACACCAAGGCATATCATAATCAGATTAAGGTAAACCAGTAATAAAAATAAAAAGTTTTTACAGCTGCTGAGATGAGGGGAGGCTGCATGGTAGAGACACTACATACAGGGAATACATTTTTTTAACCCATTAAATAATCACAAACAATGCAAGCCAAAAGACAATGGATCCAAATCTTTAAAAAAAAGTAAATTCTACCTAGAATTCTATATCCAACAAAAAAATCCTTCAAAATGAAGGCCACATGGAGAAACTGGGACCCTGACACACTGCTGGTGAGAATATAAAATGGTGCAGCCTCTGTGGAAGGCAGTCTGGCAGTTCCTCAAAAGGTCAAAAATAAAATTATGACATGACCCACAAGTCTGCTCCCAGGAGACTTGAGAACATACATCCACACAAAAAATGTATATGAATGTCTGTAGCAGCATTATTCAAAGGAGTCAAAATGTGAAAACTATCCAAATGCTATTAAATGATAAATGAATAAATATGGCACATCCATACAATGGAATATTATTTGGCAATAAAAATGAAGTACTGACACATGTGGCAATATGAATACACTTTGAACCTGTTATCTGGTCTAAATGTGTACGTCCTCTCATAACTCACAGGTTGAAACCTACCCCCTAAGGTTATAGTATTAGAGACCGTTCACATCATACTTCACCTTTGGGAGGTGATTAGGTCTCAGGCCAAGCCTTTATGGAAAAGAACAGTTCCCTCATAAAAGTCACCCCAGAAAGTCCCCTCTTTGTGCCATGTGAGGACACAGCAGATGAACCAGGAAGAGTACCATCGCCAGACACTCTGCCAGTGCCTTGATCATAGGTTTCCAGCCTTCAGAACTATAAGAAATATGTATTTCTGATATTTATAAGCCACCCAGTTTATGATATTTTATTATAGCAGCCCAAATTGGACTAAGACGTCATCCTAGGTAAACGAAGTCAGATATGAAGGACCAAATAAGGTAGGATTCTGTTTATATGAAACATGCAGCACTGGCAAATCTATAGAGATAGGAAGTACATTAGCTACCAAGGGCGGGAGAATGGGTGGATATTGAAGGGGAAATAGGGAGTGACTACTAATGAGCAGAGGATTTATTTGGGGGTGATGAATAAGCTACAGCCATAGAAAGTAAACCCTGGCTCATTACTACAAATGTAAAATACATGGTGGTGTCTTCTCTTGTATTTTGAGGGACACTTAACTTGCCAGAATCCATTTCAAAAAATGGGAGAAAGAAAGAGTCAACGTCTTCTTAAGAAATGCAGGAAGAAAAACTGGCAAGAAACAACAATCTTTGAGGAATTCTACCTTCTTTAAGTTGCACGCTGATTACGTTACTCCCTTCCTCAAACAATTTTCCATATTTCTCCCCTGCCCACAAATTATATCCCAACTCCCTACAGCCTGGATATATGGCCCTTCAGGCTCTGGTCTCCAAAACAGCTTCTGTTTAATTTCCCATGCATATCCCACGCCCTCCACCCAACAATTATTGAGTTTTATCCCATTCTGCCTCATGTTTCCACATCCTGCACCATTCTCTCAGGCGAAGTGACCTACTCCGTTCATCTCTTCCTTCCGAAATATAGATCATCCTGAAGATACCAGATCGGACGCTATCTCCTTCAGGAAGTCTTCCTTAATTCTTCACCCCACCAGACATTCACCCTCTCACTGAAATCTCCAGAGCACGTGGAATATGCCTCTTATCACCTTCACCATCCCCTGTGTGTTCCAGTTATCTGGGTGCATATCTTCTCATTTCTGCCCCGTCACTAATGTGGTATCACCTATGTATCATGTTGGGTAGACACTGGATTAAATATTGCTGTGACAGAGGGAGAGAAATGAGCAAGGGAAAGAAAACAATTAAAGAGATTAGATGGCTCAGAGAAAGAGATTTCTAATTTCATTTTTGAATTTGCTCCAAAGTACATATTTTCTCCCTCTGCACGAATATCCAGCACCATAATATGTCATGCTGCACTTACTTCATTAAACCATCACAGTCCATTTTTGGAACAGGGTGGGTATAAGTACCTGTTTGTGACTTATACATATACGCATATGTATTCTGTGTATGTCCACCTGTGAGAGTGTGTGTGTGTGTATTTGTAGAATTTATATAGAGAAAGCCTATACATAGGCTTATACCTTATAAACCCATGAGCCCTTTCTCCACCTCACTCTTACCTCCACCTCCCACAGGGCTTTTGAACTAGTGGCAGATGTGGCCGACTGCCGGCCTGTGGTTCTCAGGAAGACATGCTGCTTCTTCCTGTGTTCGTCACAGGTGAGAAACTTCTCCTGTTCAGCATGGAACAGCCTCACCACATCACCCTGAAAGTCAACACAAGAAAGATTTTTAAGGAAAAAAGAATTTAAAAAGATAATTAGATTGATGCCCCCAAGAAGGGCCAAGTAATGCTCGGCCGATAAAGCAGCAAACTCACCCCCTTTAATATGTCGTCTTTGTTATCACTCCATTTCATGAAAAGGACTATTTTCCAGCTTGTATTGCAGTTGACGGAATTGACCTGAAAAACAGATTAATTTTTTCATGTACCCCTCACAACAGCTATGTCATCCTGCCCCCAAATTTCTCACTTCAGCCTAGGAAGCAAGGTTGTACTTGCTAAAAACTCTGAAGATTGACATTACTAAAATCACAGCACCTGCAAATTCAACTGGCCTGTTGGCAGAGTTTGGCAATAAACGGCTCATTTGCACCCATCACTATGCACACTCCAACCATGACTAATGGAACCAACCCTCCTGCCTTTCTGGAATGATATTTTCCTTTTCCTGCAAGTCTCTTGTTCTGTAGCCAGAAAGTAAAGGCCTGATGAAAAAAAGTACTTATAAAATGGAATGAGCTATAAAAGGAAAAAATGAGTCCAATGTATAGGTTCTAAACTGTTAATGATCATTGTTAACAACGGAGCCACTGTTTGTGCACTAAATCTATGCCAGGCACTAGGCTTAGGTGCCAACACGCACAATCTCCTTTAATTCTCGGCCACGCCCTAAAAAGCAGGTCTGACCACCACCCCCATTTCAGAGATAAGGAAACTGCTATGCAGGGAGACTGGGTAACTAACCTACCGTCACAGAGCTAGGAATGGCAAATGGGATGTGAATCCACATCTGTCCCACTGAAGAGTGTGTCCTTACCCATCAGACAAAGATTTATGTCACAAGTAAGTAACATCCTTGTATCCTGTAATTGCCAATTTAGAGGATAAGTAGACGTATTGCCAAAAGGAAGCTATCACCCTTGCAGGGCTGCTGCTAATCTGCAGTGTTCCTTTATGAAAAGTTAGAAAGAGGCACCCTCTACAGGTAGACAAATTAGGAAAAGGTGCTCCCATGGCCAGAAAAAAATTAGTAAAAGGGGTCATCTCTGGCTTCACAAATTAAAAAACCATCCCTCAGTGATGCTAGGCTTAGCCAACTGAGAACTAGAATGAATGTCAGCCCCCATCCACTGCCCACTGCGCAGAGCTGCACAACCTTACATGGCAGCCTTGACCCTGGGCCTGTTTCTTCACCTGCAGAACGGGCACCCTGCCCCAAATCACCGCTGAAGTCACTCTCATCATGCACATGCACTGACGTCAGCCAGACCAGCTCCTGCAGGATAACCACGCCCACAGGCATTAACTCGATATCCTTACCTCATTGCAGCCTGGGTTATCTACCAGTTGATGGCTGCTAGCATGGAGGGGCTGACCAGCATTGACAGGGTTCAGAACAACCTTGTCGCCTATGACCACCTGGAAAGGAAAGGAGCAACAGACCTTTGCACAAAACTGATAAACTGCAGATTGACCAATGGGCAGTTCTAGGAGACATATGAGTTTTTGTTGAAGAAGGCAAGGCCGATCCCCAGCAAGTATAAAGACGCAGCACATACCAGGCATTCTTCAAAACCTGACCCTGTGCAGAGGGGGTCATGTTTATAAGGCTAAGCCTGAATTTTGTTCCCCGAGTGTCACTGATTTTACAGAGATGTGTCAAAGCCAGTCCAGAGTGGGCGAAAAAAAAAAAACCACACTTATATTTATTACATTCAGTTAAAGGTATCTGTATCATTAAGTTTTAAGTAAATTTAAGAAAAAACAAGAGTCTGAGGTAACTCTTTATCTTGGACAAAGCCATAATTTTGTTTTTAAATCAATTACTTTCATACTTTTACTGTCACTCACATTCAGAAATACATTTTCTATGATCAAGTCATATATAGAGCCATATAGACTTATACACATTTGTATATTTATAATATATATAATAATATACTATATATATAACAAAAACAAAAGTTACCCCCCACAACAATATGTATTACATGTAACACAGTCTGATTTTTCTCTTGTATTCCACTTTCAGAAATGATAGTCACAAGCCACTAAATTGATTTCATGGCCCAGGAATGGGTCTACACCTATTGTTTATAAAATACTACTTTAAATTCAAGCCCATCTCATCTTCTCAACTAAGTCATGGCCACACAGATTCATTTAAGGATAGGAGAGCAAAGGGTGTGCTGAAAATGAAATTCAGAACAAGGCACACTTGTTTTTGATTTTCATAGAGAAGATGGTTTCCTAAGGTGCAAAACCATCTATTTTCAGCTTATCACATCTGAGGAGCATATACAACTGAATTTTCTCTAACTCCAAATGAATATAAATTCATTCGATAAATCCAACACTTTTGCTGAAACCTAAGTTTTACTGGGCTTTTCTTTCTGTTCACAGTTAAGGATCAATTATTTACCAACTGCGTCAAAGCCCAGTTTTAAGGTTAAGGCTGGTTGAGCATTTTGAGACTATTTCACGCTGTTTGAGGTAATTTTTCAATAAAGAGCAGCTACTTTAGAATCATAACAAGATCAAAAATATAACCGATAGCATTTAATCACAGTCACTGTTAGGTATATGCCCACGTAATAGCTGACTAATTCAGCCAACAAATATCAGGACTGCTCTAAGTCTCCCTGAAAAGGCTTCCTGCGGCTTTATACACTAGAGAACCCTCAGGAGTGGGCCCTGTTCCAGACCCACTGCGTTGCTGAGCACGGTGGGGAGCCTGCCTGCTTCTCGGCACAGGAACAAATGAGGCTTCTCCCAAAGTCTACTCTCCTTTCCTACTATGGTTATTTCTTTTCCATCCTCCATCTTTACTAACTTTATTTCCAAAATAGAAAAGACATTTCTATTCCAATAATGGATCTGGAATGACAGGGACCCTCTCCAGGACATTAATACGGGATAGCTGTTTTTGTGGTCAAGTTCCTAAGGCAATGGGCTGTTCATACAATGTTTTCAGAAGTCCAGGATGAAAAACACAGTGGCTGTATTTAGGTCACACAACTTTCCACAGTTCCCTGTTTCCCAAACACTAGTTTCCATAGCAATTCCCTTCTCTTTATACAGGACAAGCTTCTGGTTCCAACTTTTAACATCTCCTCCTTGACTCTAATATACAGTCACGCTTGAAGGCATGACATGGAACGCTTTCTAGGCAGAGAATCTGCACTTACGCTGTCTCCAATGGATCGCAGCTTATAGAATGGCTGAATATAAAACCAGGACCCTTCATTTCCAGCCTCATCCAATGTGACTCTCATGGCATTCTTCTCCAGCAGAGCGGGAAGCCTCTTATTCACTGTTAGGTATTTATTACTTTTCAAATGCAGGAGCTAAAAACCCACCAAGAGAATAAAGTGAATGTCAGCAAATCGGAATCTCCTACCACTCCTTCTCTCAATCATATCAACTATATAGCAAACATTCCTCCTACCACTGAGCTGCTGGTAGAGTTAGAGAATCACGAAGCGCCTAAGGCTGCAGATGATTAGAAAAGGAAGAGGAGAAAAGGGAGCAGAATGAGAGGGCCGAGTAGAAGAAAAACTATCATGTTTTATTTTCAACACAGCCTTGGGCAAGATGGATGTTGCTCAGGCCAACTGTGCCATCAGCCCCTGCCATCTGCCAGTGGGATGAGGCTGACCCTGTGTGAACCGGCTAAGGAAGGGCAGTGTAGCATGCCCTGATGCACAGGTGGAGCTGAGGAAGGCCACTCTGAGCACAGGCAACAGTTTAAAAAACAACGCAGGGCCAAGTGAAGTGGCACACATCTATAAGCCTAACACTTTGGGAGGTGGAGGTGGAGGCAGAAGTGTTGCTTGAACCCAGGAGTTCAAGACAAGCCTGGGGAACACATGGAGACCTCGTCTCTACAAAACATTTAAAATTAACCAAGTGTAGGGGTGCACACCTGGAGTCCCTGCTACTCAGGATGCTGAGGTGGAAGAATCACCTCAGCCCAGGAGCTACAGGCTATAGCAGGCTGAAATCGCACCACTGTACTCCAGTTTGGGTGACAGGGCAAGACCCTGTCTCTAAAAAAAATTAAATAAAGGCCGGGCGCGGTGGCTCACGCCTGTAATCCCAGCACTTTGGGAGGCCGAGGTGGGTGGATCACGTGGTCAAGAGATCGAGACCATCCTGGTCAACATGGTGAAACCCCGCCTCTACTAAAAACACAAAAAATTAGCTGGGCATGGTGGCGCGTGCCTGTAATCCCAGCGACTCAGGAGGCTGAGGCAGGAGAATTGCCTGAACCCAGGAGGCGGAGGTTGCGGTGAGCCAAGATCGCGCCATTGCACTCCAGCCTGGGTAACAAGAGCGAAACTCCGTCTCAAAAAAAAAATAAAATAAAATAAAATGCAATCCCTTTAGGGGGTTGTCAATTCGTTTGGAAGAACATGGCTTGAATTTCCAAGTACATTATTCTTGATTTTGGGGTAATAATTACATGAGGAACATAGAAAGACTGAAGACTTAGATGGGATATAATGTGTCTGATAGTCAGTCTAGACCAGAAAGAGTTGGCTAAGGCTTCCCTATTCAACAGGCTATAAGAGAACGTGGATGGGAATACAAAAGAAAGCCCAATCCCTTGAGAAACTGTAAGACCAGCATGAGCCTCCATTGTTAATTGCTAACATCCCCCTTTTCAAATGTTAACAGATACAGCTGCTAGAAGAAGTGTTAGGACCCCTCCAAATCTCCAAATAGTGCTGCTGGGGGTGGAAGAATACCCTGTCTGATCCATAAGCCCTGATGAGCCCTAGCTAAAATAAACAAGGAGAAGGCAACGTCTTCCCAACCCCTTAATTGTTCCCCTGGTGAGTGGTCCCTGATCCTGCACGCATCTGTCCAGGTGCCAGACTCAGTTGGTTTATAAACCAAAGTTACCTACAGGTAGGCCCAAGATCCAGGCTTGGGGAAATTAATAATAACTAAGATTAATTACTGTGTATCCACAGCTTACTGTGGGACAGGCACCTCTCAACCATCATAGAGAGCAGATGCCATTACCATTTCCATTTTACTGGTGAGCAAAGTGATACAGGGCAAGACTGCTTGCCCAAAATCTCACAATGAGTTACAAAACCTGAATTGCAATGCATTTAAAAGTTAACGTCCTTAGCCTCTGCACTATCTTCATTATCATGTCAAGCCATATTCTCCAAACTAACCAAATCAGGAAGTCTTGTACTCTGAATTTCAGGGCACTGGCCTGGCCTAGTAATAAAGCTGCCATTGAACTTGGGGCACACCTGGACACGCCTGGACACTTGTGTCCATTCTCAAGTGGATGGAACTTAAGGAGGAGGAAGTGGGTAAGTGGAACTGGCAGGATTTACTCTTCAAGCAGATTTTGGAAGCTACTTTCACTATTTCAAAAGGCCTAATGTAAATAACCCATTTAACACCAAAAGGTTGCTTTGCCAATCTTTTACTAGTGTTCCCATCTTCCTGATTAGCCCTGCTCTATGCCTCATAGCAAGAGAAAGGGTAAGGGCTCCTTTGTAATTAGTAATGTTTACATAGTAGGCAAAATCTTTCAAAAAGAAAAATATTGAAGGAAGAACACCAAATGAGTCTAGGTGCTCAACAGTTGGCTCCTACTAAGCTTTGTGCCTGGGCAAAAGAAAGCCACAGGTGGCTCTGGGCTTCCGCAGTTTTCTGTAAGACTGGCATGGACCCACGGGAATTTTCTGAGCGAAACCTGTACTAGCTGTTTCGTGGATTGTGTTTTATCTCCATGCCAAATTTAAAGGTACAAAATATAAGCAACCCGTGAGACCAGACATGAAAACAATCAAATATTCTTGATAAATATAAAATGTATCAAAATGATAAATATTTCTGATTTAAAAAGTCCCAAGATACAGAATTGCTCTTATTACCTCTGGGGAACAGCTCCTGGCCAGCAGATAAAAGTTATAGGGAAGCTAATTTTCACCAAATAGGAAGAATTTTCAAGCATTACAAGTTAAACAGAACTGCAACAGCCGGGTTCTGTTTTACGTAGGAAGCTTCCCATTTGAAGTGTTTGGAGTGAAATGATCAGCCACAGAGAGAAGTCGATGCTTACACTGAGAGATGACCAACAAAATAGCCCAAGAGTCCGTCACATCTAACAAGAAACACCAGACGTTTTGCAATAAACTGGCTGTCTTCACGGATCTTACTGTAAAGGTGTCCAAACCCTGTCTTGTGTGTGTCTTTTCCCAGCTGCGTTCTTTGCAACACTTCAGCTGCAAAAGGGAAGAGCCGCCTTGACCTACCTGGATCACATTGCCATACTGGATTACAGTCCCCAGCAATTTCCTGTTTTCCGTCTCATTTTGCTTCTTTTCCAAGTCTGCAGCATGCTGTGCATTGAGAATAAAGATTGGTCACAAAGAGGCAACAATAGGTTCTATCCCTCTCCAGTTATGCAAAACAATTGTCGCCAGTTAATACAAGAACCAGAGAAAAACGCAAACCACAGAAATAAGCCAACCACTGAGTACACACCCTGAGGCTTCCTGACGTGAGCCAAGGGTACAAACAGTCCATCACTCTGCCTTTGCTTTGCTGGCCTTTTTGGCTTCTTTAAAATGTTTTTGTTGTTGTTGTTTGTTTTCTTTAAGGAATTATGGTTATTTACTTAGGGGGAGAATAAGTCAAAAGCTGAAATACCTTCAAAGAAAATAGGGTCAGGGAGGGAGGGAATTTGCAAAGCCCCCCTATGATGTGTGAAAGTTCTCTTAAGGCTTTGGAGTAAAAAGACTGAACTTAAATGCTGGATTTAAGTGGTATGTGGTTTTCTGAACTTGAACACGTTATTTAATATCAGCGAGTCTCAGTCTCTTCCTTTGTAAAACAAGGATAAAATGGTACCTGCACCTCACAGGAACTCCACTGCATAGTACCTGATACACTGTAGCATACATGGAGTATTAGCTATTCTTGTTAGATACGATTTATAATGTAATCAATTTTTATAATCATTCCCTGAAGAGAACATTATTACCCCCACTTTTAAAGAAGAAGTTGACTCAAAGTGATTGAGAAATTTGGTCACCCTGGCATAGCTAGTTGGATGATGGGTAGGAAAGGGATTTGTTATACCATTTATCTACTTCTGAGTACATTTAAAACTTTGCTTAATAATGTTGTTTAAATCACGCAATTATTAAGTGGCAGAGATAGTGTTCATATCCACATTTGGATTAACTCCAAATCTGTAGAGCTACAAATTAGGCCCGGAGATGTTACTATTCCAAATGTGACATGCTAGCAGGGGGAACACGATACAGCTGAAGAGAAGGTTTTAGAATAGTCTGGCAGGGCTATCTTCCCGAACAGTCATTTTTCATTCATTCACCTGTGCCACTCTGAAAGCACTGTTACTACATTGCAATAATGGTGAAGGGCAATGGCTTCATGCTAGGCAGTCAGCAAACTGTTACCCCAACCCATCTCCCAGACACAGGCTGGCGGAAAGGAAGTAAAATAACTGAGAAGAAATTCAGCATTGGATCTGATGGACAGTAAAACCCTGATGATAAGAGTGTACTTCAGAAGGGTTTCGAAGGCTGTCTTCCTGAAGTGTCTCCTTTCCTTGGAGCAAGATGCTACCAGGTGCAGTGGGTCCTCTTTCACAGATATTGTGTCTTCATTTTCACAGAACCTTCTGGACGTGGTCATGGGTCCCCTACCTTCTAGCTTCAACATCTTGTCCTCATTACTGAATCTCACCAAGCCTCACTCAGTATTCTTATCACAAAATGGAAACAATGCAAGCCTTTTAAGGCATTGTAGAGATTCGAGAAAATGTATGCCAGGACATAATTGCCATTGGATCATAAATTTTAACCATTATTATTATACGCTAGTTTCTAAAACTAAGAAATGTTCTGATGATTAACTTTGTAAAAGGTGACCTGAGTTGGCTGGGTCAAGAATCTTTCTGTTTCCTTCAAATTCAGCATCTGTTCCACTTCTACCTGGGACACAGGTATTTTTAGGAAAGCACATCTTTGGAGAAAAATGAACTGCAGCAAGCAATCTTAAGCCAAAATGAAACCATTTTACAGGAGGGGAATGATCCGCATATGTTAGCATGGATCACTGCAAGTTGACCACATCTTCTTTAAAACAATGGTCCATTCAAAACTTCACTCTCTCTCTTTCGGAATTAGTTACCAGTCTGCTATTATCGGAGTTACAAACATAAAATCCACTGGGTACAAGAAACATTCAGAAATAATACCAGTGCTTGCAACGTGGCAACCTTTGGCATGCAAGCTGTCCTCAGCATAGTTCTCCTGAACCTTTTCTCTCCTCTGCATAAATACTCTCCCTTAGCAGCCTCCCACCTCTTGTTCTCTCTAATTTCAAGCCTGAGCTTACAACCACTTCAGAGATCTCTACAGTACCTACAGGTTCTGCAGGTAGTTTTCCAAACAAAACACTGGACTGTATCCATTTGGAATGAAGGTTTATTCTTTGTGGAGAGCCGTTTGTTCTTTCTGCTTAAGAGTTCTCAGCTAACACTGACTGCACACTCAAGAGGGGGAAAATACCAAAGGGAAAAAACCCAAAGGATTCTGTAAAATAAAATATAACATTTCCCAACATCCAAATATGGTTTTTCTTTATTCAAAGCCCACACTGAAAATATTCAACTTTAGAGTTCTTAAGTAGCATTTCTTGGACTCAAATGATCGAAAAGCTCCTCTTTAAGAGCAAAAATGCTCATCAACATTCCCCTTACTCTCAAGAATGTCCAATGGCTTCAGTTTAAGAAATACTAATATTATGCTCCTACCTACACTTAGAGTAAGTACAGTATAAAAACAGCAACCCAGTGGTCACTGGTTTGTCTAGAAAGAAATGTCAAATTCACCATCAAGAAGGCATATATTCCACATTAACAACTAATTAAACACCAGCAGATCTAAAGAGCATGGGCATTTGTCAAAAGACATAAAAAAGGTAAGAGAAGAGCAGAAAATTAAAACAAAATTGGAGAATAAATATCTAACGGCTTCTCTTAAAATGAAGATATTCTTGGCCAGGCACGGTGGCTCATGCATGTAATCCCAGCACTTTGGGAGGCAGAGGCAGGAGGAACATCTGAGGTCAGGAGTTCAACACCAGCCTGGCAAACATGGTGAAACCCCGTCTCTACTAAAAATACAAAAATTAGCTGGGCACGGTGGCGCATGCTTGTAGACCCAGTTACTTGGGAGGCAGAGACAGGAGAGCTGCTAGAACCTGGGAGGTGGAGGTTGCAGTGAGCCTAGATTGCGCCACTGCACTCCAGCCTAGGTGACACAGAGAGACTCCATCTCAAAAGTAGACAAAAAATAAAATAAGACATTCTCAAATATCACATCTAAAACTTTGTCAAAACTCTGTTAAACTAAGAGTTAATACTACTTTAATTCTGGGTTTAATGATGACTGAGCCTTCACATCACCATTGAATAAGCACTGAATGTATTAAGCTTACGGACCATTTTACGAATTTACTTTTCTTATAAGTTCTCTTTGTTTAAGGAGAAAACTCTCCATTTCATTTTTTACTAAATGTAGAAATATCAAATTTCATTAGTTTCAGTTCACATGTCAGTCGTTACATAAATCCCTCACAAAACCAAAGTCTGGTATTTAGACACAACCATCCATGATTCTTTTTAGGTTCAACAGGCAAGGCAATAAGGAAGGTGAAAAGGTAACGAGGTACAAGCACTGCAGGCCACTGATCACGGCTGTTTCTGCCCTCAAAGAAAAACGAGATCTGGTTGGTTCAATCCCTCAAGTACATTCCAAGAATGGGTCCTCACTGTAAGATATTAAGTCAGCGCCTTTCTAAAGGACACTCAGGCAATATCTACCAAAAAACTCTTCACTCAACATAACACTGACTTAACAATTTCACTTCTAGGAGTTTCTCATAAGCAGAAAACCTGGCACGTGCACAAAGCCATACAACTTTTTTTCAAAATGGCAAAAATTGTCAGGATGCTGAATATCACTCCCTACCTAACCTCTGCTCACAGAGACTGCTTATTTAAAATTACAGTACTGCCATACAAGGGAGTAACCATGTAGCCATTAAAAATGAGGACAGAGGCCAGGTACAGTGGCTCACGCCTGTAATCCTAGCACTTTGGGAGGTTCAGGTGGGCAGATCACCTGAGGTCAGGGGTTCGAGACCAGCCTGGCCAACACGGTGAAACCCCCATCTCTACCAAAAATACCAAAAAAAATTAGCTGGGCATGGTGTTGCATGCCGGTAATCCTAGCTACTCAGGTGGCTGAGGCAGGAGAATCACTTGAACCCAGGAGGCAGCGGTTGCAATGAGCCAAGATCACACCACTGCACTCCAGCCTGGGCAACAAAATGAGACTTCATCTCAAAAAAAAAAAAATGAGGATAGAGATTCCAATTTATTCACAACATATTAACTGAAAAACAAAGCAAGTTAAAGAAAGGGAAGTAGAATAGCATACTCCCCTTGATAGTTTAAAATGTGGAGACATAGGAACAGAACAGGGGGTAGGAGAGCAGGGCGAACATCAAAATAAAAACCAAGGTTATCTTTGAGGAATACAATTTAGGGTCACATGAATTAAATTTTTTTTTCCTTTTCCTACGCCTATATTCTAAAATTCATATCCTAAGTACATGTGTGTAATTTCTTCAAAAACATCTTCATCATGTCTCTGTGTCAAGTAGCTTGAATTTTTAAAAGTAATCTAAGTCAGGCACAGTGGCTCAGTCTATAATCCTGGCACTTTGGGAGGCTGAGGCAGGTGGATCACTTGAGCCCAGGAGTTCAAGACCAGCCTGGGCAATGTGGCAAAACCCCAACTCTTCAAAAAATACAAAAATTAGCTAGGCATGGTAGCATGTGCCTGTAGTCCCAGCTACTAGGGAGGCCGAGGTGGGAGGATCACTTAAGCCCAGGAGGTTGAGGCTGCAGTAAACCATGAACATGTCACTGTACTCCAGCCTGGACGATAGAGAACATGTTTAAAAAAAAAAAGCCATCTTAAATATGCTACCTTTTCATTATTTAAATATCTGTTACTCTTTTCCCTTGAATAATGGGTTGCAGACTGTTTTTAATTTCCAAGGAGGAAAAACACTCTATGATATGGTTTCTACCACTATTATTCACCAGGCTCCCTAAGCAACATCAAGGCTACCCCATCATAGCCACCTGTTATTTTATTTCAGAGACAGAGAAACTATTATCAAATTACAATAAAAAGGTTACTGAAACCGTAAGGAAAGCTTATTTTGTTAAAGTCAATAAGCTCTGAATCATGTAATGTGATATTGAAGCAAAGCTTCCAAAAGCAAGCAATGCAACACCCAGACAATAAGGACCTGTCACTCTTCTGGCTCTTCCTAGCTCATCAAAGCCGTGACTTAAGTGATCATGTCTCAGAACAAAACAACGTAGGTGCTTGTTTCAAGGTAACAGCTACAATGCTGTCAGAAAACAGTAGTAATGGCTTTTAAAACAAATTATGTGATTTGCAGATGGAAAGAAGCTCATTTTGTCAAGAGACCTTTAGTAAATCATGACCAAGAGAGTCAAAATCCAGTTATTCCTGCAGAAGGAAAGGGCATAGACAGTAACCAGCCACTAGATGTCACTCTTTTTCAAAGTGCTGTTTATGTTGCTTACCCAAGTCAAAAGGAAGTCAAGTGGTCTAGACAACTAATTCCTTAAATGGCATTAATTTAAAGTAATCTGACCTCTGATTGGGGTGCTGCACAGTAGTTGACAAAAATAAAAATGAAAACCCACTGGAGACTAGCCATCAGTCCCAAAGGCAAAGAGGCTGTCCAAAATAAAACAACTTATTGGCTGGTGGGAATGCAAATTGAATGAAACATGTGGATGACTTTAAGACATTAGGGGAAATGGTTCCAACTAAGCAGGAAAGTAAGAACTGCAAAAAGTGAAGCACAAAGGCAACATTCAAGACCTGAAAGTCACATCAGTAATCTTAACCCAGGGAAAAGAAGTGGTTTCCTTTCTTATTTTTTAAAGGAATAAACAGCATGAAAGAGAGATCACTGTTTTTCTCTTTTTCCTTTTTAATAAGGAGTTGACCGTGTCTGATCACCTTAGGATTGGACTTTTTTCAACCACACTGTTTTCATCACAGTTCATTCATAGGAAGGAGTGTCAAAAGGAGTTGCTGATAAAACATAAAACCTAGAGCACAGGTTACAAACGGGACTGAAGAACCACATCCAGCCTGAGCCATTTATTTTGGTGTTGAGTGTATATTTCAAGCCTTAATTGAATTCGCTCCCAACATCTTTTTAAAACTGAGATATTACGTATAAAAGCATGGATTTTTATCTTCTCTTAAAAAGCAGAAGACACAGCAGCAGCTCTCAACCCGCGTTCCCAAGCAGTGGCAGTAAGGAAGCAGAGCTGCCCCCTGCAGACCCACCCATGGGACCCTCCACTTGGCAGCATTACCCAGCAAGCCCACTTTATTCCTGTTGGCTTCCTGTAGGGCCAAGAGGAATCTGAATTTACAACCCTGTGGCAAAAAACGTGGGAGGGGAAAAAGTTGGAGATGTATTACTAAGATCTCAATGAACAGTATGATCCTTATACCAGAAAAGCAAAGTCAGGACAATTTGACTTTAAAGACACACAGACTTTCCACAAAGATAGCCCCCTACAGGCACATGCACTAAATATAGTTACGTCCAAGACTGATCAACCTTCCCCACCTATTCAACTGCATTCCATGTTCCCAGCACAGACTTTGGGGAGATTGTGGATTGGCGCAGTGACTGGAAGAAGGTGCTACTGATATTCAGTGGACAGGGGCTAGGGATGCTGGGCACACTCAATGCATGTTACAGTCCTATGCAAGGATGAACCATCATTTATCCCATACAATTCTGTCTAGCTGGATATTCACATAGGTTAAAAAGCTATCTGTAGGCTGGGCAAAGTGGTCCACGCCTATAATCCTAGCACTTTGGGAGGACGAGGCAGGAGGACCACTTGAGCTCAGGAGGTCAAGGGTGCAGTGAGCTGTAATGGCATCACTGCACTCCAGCCTGGGAGTATCTGTAATTACCTGAACACAGCATCCCACTCCATTTTACATATCAACAGAAATCACAGCTCTTTATTATTTCATTAATACTATTAATGAATTTTCCCAAAGTACAAGTACTACTTAATGAAGAAAAGAGCATACTTTGCATTCTTCACAACATGATCATGTTGTGAAACCCTGTCTCTACTAAAAATACAAAAAAATTAGCTGGGAGTGATGGTGCATGCCTGTAATGCCAGCTACTCAGGAGGCTGAGGCAGGAGAATCGCCTGAGCCCGAGAGGTGGAGGTTGCAGTGTGCCGAGATCGCGTCACTACACTCAAGCCTAGGCAACAGAGTGAGACTCTGCCTTAAAAACTAATAATAATAACGCTGACAATTTAAAATAGTGAAAAAAAACTAAAAATCTGACGTAAGAAAAAGTGTAATGCAGAGGTAGATTATGGCATTTGCACAGAGATAGTCTGTAAGAGCTGGTCTAACATGCAACTATCTGTGATTCTGATTTTAAGGATTTAGACTTTTGGAACTGAATCTTCAGGGATTTAAACATTTGAGACTATGGCACTTAAGATTATGTCTTTTGTGATTAGGACTGAAACCCTTCTGGAAAACCACATCACAGATAACATGCTTTCCGAATTGCCAATACCCTCCAACCAGCACCAGTCACAGTCTACAGCTGCCTCACTCGCAGGGTTTATGCACATAGGTACAAGCACTTACTTCCTTGTGTCTTCTAAAGGAGTCATCCCTGAGCATTGACTTAAGAAGAGTATTCAATTTATTATATAATTTATTACTTACCTTTTCATTTCTCCATTGTAATTTGGTATCTATTATTTATGAATTTTATTCCATGTTCATAAAGCTATATAATATTTGCTCTAAAGAAGGTACGATGGTTTTGTTGGGATTGAGGATGTCTGAGATAATCATCATTATTAAAATAGTGATGCAATTCCAAAAGTCTTCAAAGCAATCTCTAGCCTCCAAGTCTTGGAGTCCATTGTTTCTTCCTCTTCTACCCTTTAAATCCCACAGGTGCCTCTGACTGAAGCTGACTTGGCATTTCCTTCTTCCTCCACGAAGCCCTCCTTGACCTCTGTATCACACCCTCTTATTCAGCACAGAGAGATGTGGCATCCTTCCTATGTGCTCCCACAGCCTTGGTTTGTCCTGCAATACACTGCTTATCATTATTTCTTTGTTCTTGGACATTCAGCTCCCATAGGGTTAAGACTATCATAGTTCTATCTCTAGTGCCTAGTGCACTGCTCATTCATTATTCACTAAATATTTTTGAGCACCTACTATGTTCTGGATACTATTACAGAAGCTGGGATACAACAGGGAGCAAGAGAGATGATGCCACAACCTTGTAGAGCTGTCATTCTAATAAGCAACAGGTGATAATTAAGGAAGCTACTAAATATAATTGCAGACCCTGATCAGTGCTGAGAAAGATATAAACAGGGTGCTACAATGGAGAAAAACAAACAAGACATCTCTTAGATAAGGTGGGAGGGGAAGACCTTGCTGAGATGACATTTCAGCGGAGACACAAAGGCTCAAAAATACTAGCTCAGGAAGAGCCAGGAAAAGAATGTTCTTAACAGGACAAACTGAGGGTGCAAAGGTCATGAGACTATTGAGAGTCTGAGGTGCTCAAAAAACAACATAAAATGAACTAAAGCTCATATGGCCGGAATGTAGTCAAGAAGCCTCCTTGGCGGCATCAGGGTCCAGGCATGTGCCATCTTGTAGATGACGACAGAAAGTCCGGATTTCACTTTAGGTGCAGTGGCAGTGACGGCTTACGTGTCCTTAGGCTGGACTGTAAGCTCCCTGAGGTGAGGAGCCTGGGCTTTTCATCACATCCTGTCTGAAACACCACATACTGAATGTAAGAATCCCTTCACATGACCCTCACCTTACCAAATGCAGCGGGTTGTGACTTTGCCATACGCAAGTCAAAAATGGAGCAAGCTGAGAGGCAGAACCTCTTGAGCTCTCAGGGCTCACAGATGCTCTAGGTCTTCAACTGTCATCACTGAGCAACGAGAAAGATCACTGTGTATTCTGTGAAATACGTGAGTGCCTGGTAAGTGCCCAACCGTGTTGCAGACACAAAGGTTACTGCAACGAGCAACACTGACACAGACCTGGGCCCTCACGAAGCTTACCTGCCAGAGGAGGGAGACAGCCAGTAAACAAAATGCATTAGAAAGATAATGTTACATAACAGGGGGAAATGAAGTGGGTCAGGAAACAGGAAGTGGGGTACGATTTCGATATTAGCACACTGGATATACGCCATGTCTCCTCAACATCTCAGAGAACTTCCAGATTAGCCTGGGAATGCAGGGCACTAAAAGAACTATGTCATTATTTTACAGGTGAAACAGGATCAGAGAGGCTCAAAAACTTGCTCTGGTCACACAGCACATCAGTAGCGGAATGAGCACATCTTTAATATGCCAAATAACAGGACAGATGCAATGCTAACAGCCAAAATTTATTAAGCATTTATTATGTGCTACACACTGTTCATGTCCTTTCATGTCTCATTTTCTGTAATCTTCGCAATGACCTTCTGGGGTGGGTACTGTCATCTCCATTTTACAGATAAGGTAACAGAATTGGAAAATAGCACCTAACATGCCCAAGAGAACCAGTTACTGAGCGGGGGAGCCAGGATTCCATTCTAGGCAGTTTGCTTCCAATGCCTGCGCTCATAACCACTTCTCCAACCAAAGCTACCCCTGCAAAGAGAGTGGCTCAGAAAAGGACTCGTCAGACAACTCAAGATGACTAGGATCTATCCCTCCCTATGGTCAGCTCCCTTCTACCCCTCCATGAAAAAAACATAAGAAAGTCAGCAGCTAGAGTGGGAGGGTGGCATAAGCAGTCCCCCACCAGGACACCCAGACACCACCAAGGCAGCCACTCACCACTGGCCCATCGGCAGCCCCATCACAATACATACGTGCAGTTTGTTGAGCAGCACCGCGTCTGTTGTGCTGTTGGCCCCGGGCTTAGCAGCTTTCCAGAACTGCTTCTGGGCAGAGTAGCGGTTCATGGGACATAGCTTAAAGAGGCAGTCTAGAAGTGAAGCAAACAAACAGAAATTGCTATTGAGGGTGTACAGACGCTCATCCTAAGAAAAAAAGGCTGCTTTATAAAATTACATCATATATAGATATACAATGAGAGTAGAAAGCTCTTTGACAAATCTTTTTTTAAATTTAATTGCCACCACCACTGTGTGAGAGTACAGATGAGGAAACCGAGACTTACAGAAAGTGAGTCAATTGTTGCTACAGAACTAGTTGGTGCCACAGCTGTCCAGATTCAGTGTGGTTTTTCTTTCGTTGTTGTTTGTTTTTTTGTTTTTTGAGACAGAGTCTCCCTTTGTCACCCATGCTGGGGTGCAGTCACATGACCTTGGCTCACTGCAACCTCTGCCTCCCAGGTACCAGCAATTCTCCTGCTTCCGCCTCCCAAGTAGCTGGCACTACAGGCATAAGCCATCATGCCTGGCTAATTATTTGTATTTTAGTAGAGACGGGGTTTTGCCATGTTCTTAATGCTACCCCATAGTTGACTCCTTTCCAACAAACAAATAAATACAAGGACAAATAATCCTTACTGTATATAACAATGCGTACAAGCATTTACACAAATCCAACTCTCTTCAGTATTGTTCAATTTAGAAAAAATATCACGGGCCAAACGCGGTGGCTCATGCCTGTAAGTCTAGCCATTTGAGAGGCCGAGGCAGGTGGATCTCTTGAGGCCAGGAGTTTGAGACCTGCCTGGTCAACATGGTGAAACCCTGTCTCTACTAAAATATACAAAAAAAAAAAAAAATTAGCCAGGCGTGGTGGTGCATGCCAGTAATCCCGCTACTCAGGTGGCTGAGGCATGAGAATCTCGTGAAACTGCGCAGCAGAGGATATAGCGAGCCAAGATCACACCACTGAACTCTAGCCTGGGTGGCAGAGCAAGATTCTATCTTAAAAATAAATAAATAAATAAATACAATAAATAAATATGTATGTATGTATGTATGTATGTATGTATTTGATGCTTACTTAGAGGGATCTCCTAGGGAAGTGGTCTCTTGAGTAATGTGTGCGAAACGACCCTTTGTGGTACAGAAAGAACATACATGAACTGGCATTTACATAGTCTGTGCCCTTGTCCCCTCACTCTCAGCGCACTGTGACATGCTTCCATTTAGCATGCCTGGGCTCATACGAATCTACACATTGTCTTATGTGGTATAACCAGCATTCACAAAACGGCTTCAAAAGATTTCTGCAGAAAAATCAAAACATTAAAGGTAACAGTGATGCATCCCAGCACACCAAAAAAAATGGAACCAACCCTTCCCTTATAGCTCTTGTAAGGTAAAAAGAATGATGATCTAATCAGATCTAGAAAAAGTCGGCTAGACATTAAAAATCATAAATAAAACCACCTATTCTTTTAATGATGAACGTTACCCTAAAGCATCTATGTGTTTTAAGGTGTTAATAATATGAAACCATCATAACAGGATACATTATTATTTAATCTTAATCTGAGTTATTAACTTCCACTTTCCACTTGTTTTATAATGTCTACAATACATTATTACAATAATACATGTATGTAACTTTTAAAAACACACACATATACACACACACAGAATTTAGGGGTATAGTCACCAATTCTTTTTTTAAGAGATGGGGCCTCGCTTTGTTGCCCAGGCTGGAGTGCAATGGCTATTTCGCAGACAATCATAGCACACCACAGCCTGGAACTCCTGGCTCAAGCCATCCTCCAGCCTCAGCTTCTCAAGCTAGGATTTGTGCTCCACCAGATTTTTCTGACAGACATATGCCATCAACAAACCAGTAACTACTCTAGGAAACCAATATTTAAAATTGACACTCCCTATGAAAAGTTTACATTTTGACATACTGAGTTTTCAAATGGTAAATATCTGTAGAGTAAAATTAACAAATTTAGAGTGGATACTGACATTCAGAAAAATGACACCCAAGTAGGTTTGAACAAGCATTTAAGGAAATTTCTAACTGTATGCTTATTCTTATCTATTCATTAAAACCGATTCCCTTAAAGTACCTTGAACAGGTAAATACCTAGTTATTGTACTAGCCAAAAAATATCTTATAGTAAGAAAAATGGATTTGCTGTGAAGTACATAAATACTTGGTCCTTCCTCTAATTCAGATCACTCTTTGTTCTAGTCAGGATCAATAACTAATTGTTACTATGTACTGAACACACAAATACCTGAGATTGTTCAGAAAAAAAAATTATTTAATTGTAGAAGTAGTAGGTACTTTTCCCGTTTCTGTAATCTCCATCACAAAATATTTCTACCTAGTCACAAGCAGTTATAATGTAAATATTGGACCATGATAGCTATCTTTATTAAGAATCTAATCCATCTACTGAAAGTAATTTTTACTGCATATGAAAGATACTGTCTAGGACTTTGGAGAACAAGGCTTGATACAGCAGGAGGCCAGTTTAAAAGACCAGACTGCTCTCCCCACCTCATTTTTTTTTTTTTTTGAGATGGAGTTTTGCTTTTGTTGCCCAGGCTGAGTGCAATGGTGCAATCTTAGCTCACTGCAATCTCCACTTCCCAGGTTCAAGTGATTCTCCTGCCGCAGCTTCCCCAGTAGCTGGAATTACAGGTATGTGCCACCACACCTGGCTAATTTTTGTACTTTTAGTAGAGACAGGGTTTCACCATGTTGGTCAGGCTGGTCTTGAACTCCTGAACTCAGGTGATCCACCTGCCTTGGCCTCCCAAAGTGCTGGGATTACAGGCATGAGCCATGGTGCCCAGCCTCCCCGCCTCTTAGGAAAGACACAGGTCCTGATCATTTGCTATTTTAGTGGCAATTTAATGACATCATTTCCAGAGACACAGTTTTCCTACCAGCTTAATATTAATATATACAAACTCTCCATTCACTCCATGAATAACCATACACAACCAGGAGACAACAGTTTACGTGAAATGTTCCATCTTTGACACAGGACTAAACATTGTCCCCAAGCATCTATGTGTTTCAAGGTGTTAATGATAATATAAAACTACAATAAATAACAGAATACTGCATTATTGTTTATTTATTTGTTTATTTTTGAGACAGTCATGCTTTGTTGCCCAGGCTTGGAGCACAGTGGCATGATCTCAGCTCACTGCAACCTCTGCCTCCCGAGTACAACTGATTCTCCTGCCTTAGCCTCCCAAGGTAGCTGGAATTACAGGTGCCCACCACCAGGCCCAGCTAATTTTTGTATTTTTAGTAGAGACAGGGGTTTTGCCATGTTGGCCAGGCTGGTCTCGAACTCCTGACCTCCAGTGATTCACCCACCTTGGCCTCCGAAAGTGCTGGGATTATAGGCATGAGTCACTGCACCCAGCCTTATTGTTTAATCTTAATCTTATTCATTAACTTCTACTTTCCTGTTATTCAGAATCTAGGTTGGACCAAAATGGCTTCCTATATCACACGCCTTTTAAAAATATTCAAAAGTCATTGGCATTCGCATTTGACACATGACTTGTTTTACGTACCAAATGAGGTTAACAATGTCAATTTTCATCAATAGTAAGATATAGAGAGTAAAATGACCTGTTTTTTTTCTCTCCAACATGCTTCATATGATGATACTAACTGGTATACATTCCAAAAAAACTGATTTAGGTAGATGAGAGGGACAAGCAGGGTGAATTCATGACGCCAGAGGATAACAGACAATGGAAAGTATCATTCTACAACTGTTCATGGTACCACCAAGTGAAGCACCTCACCTAACAAAGGAGCTGCATCACAGGCTCAAACTTCAGATAACTTTGCTTTCCCCTAAGATGAGAAGGTCTATTTAAATAACATCAACCTAACCAAAGCCTTGCTCTAACTTCCACACCAACACTTTTCCTTGGACAAAACAGAGCATTGCATTGCATTAAGTGTATTTACAACTGTCTGTGTAAATATAAGAGATTCGAACATACTAGTAACAGAACCAAATTAGCCTTGCTGATTTTGCCCTGTCTTCCCAGTTGCTTAGCAACTAATTCAAAGTGAAAATTAAATTAAGCAATTCAAATGTAATGTTAGAATAACCTTCCAAAATTTTGCAATTTGTAGGTTCCATATTGCCCTTTGCTATTTGGATGGCACAGCAAAGCAAAATTAAACTTCCACTGGGTCCTAATACTCTGCTAAGTTGCTAAGTATAGAAATGCACAAATACAGGGAAACCAGAAGAATATATTTAATATTTACTTGGAGGAAGGAGACCACATGTATGTACATATGTGTGCATATGCATGTGTGTGCGCATGCACACGCGCACACACACACACATACACACCCTGTGGTTTGAACTCACCCCAAAGAAACGCCACTAAGAATGTCTTATGTGACAAGTGTTATTTTAGGCATTTGAGGAATAAACTAAACTAGCTTTTACTGTGGAATACTCTGAAGTTTGAGCATATGCCACACTGAGTTACCAAAGGAGAATGTGGCTGAATAAAGGCGCTGGAGTAGGCATTAAGGGGCTGGGTGGGCTAGAAGCCGGACAGAACAGGCCACAGGTGAGCTTCCATTATCAAGGGCATGCTGGAGCCTGGCTGGAGGGAGAATGTTCAATTGATTTACAGATGAGTTTCACTACCAAATTAGGACTTATGGTGCACATTTAAGAGAAGGTGGGAGCAAATGGAGCCACAGGTGTGCTTCCAGCACTCTGGGATGGGGCAGAAGCAAAGCTAGAAAGCAAACAAGTCAGCCAACCTTCAGAGGTATCCACGCCAGTGACCAAGTAAAAGAATAAAGGCTGCCACAACAGCTGAAACCCCACCGTGTCCACACCCTCCTCCCCACTGCTAGAACTTTCAACTCTGGAGTGTAAGGTCCCTGAAGGCAGAGACTTTTGTCTGTTTTGTATGCTATGGTAGCCCAGTGGCTAAAGATTGAGTAAAGCACAACAATGGTGCTGAATTAATGATTTAAATATGCTACCATTCCTAGGACTCCAGAAACAATGCAGATATGTCTGCT